AAAGAAATGAATGAAGGCATCAATTGCTTCAGTCTGAAGGGGAGCAAACCAAAGTTAACACTGCGTTTGCAAGCCTAGTCAAGTGAGATATTCTTCGGAGGATGGATATGAAAGTTAAGGGCGGGCTGAGCTCAGTTGGTGGTAGAACAGCTGTTCAGTAGACGAGTTCCGCGCAAAGATGTCAAGAATTAGCTTCAAATGCTTTGCGGACGCCTAGTAGGGACAGAGCTGGCGCCTTGGTTTACCAAAAACTACTTGCAGCTGAAAAGGTAGCTTTGTTATCCCTATGGCGAAGTTCTGCATACTAATTGCACTGTGACGAGCGGTTGTCGTTGGGAACCGACCACGACGCAGAAGTTATGTTAGGTCGTTAAGTAGTTCACACCAGAAAAAGCACCTATGATAGGTCGTCAAGCAAAAAGCTAGTCAAAAGTTTGCAATCTATCCTCTTATGGGAGCATGAGTGATGGTTCCGGAAGTGGCGTCTTCATATTTTCCAGTTCCGGCTATTTCGTTACATGGTCCACACAGGTGGCGTAATGAGTGCATCCACTGGCTTATCATGAGTGCCCTACAATATCGAGTTAAACTTGGTCAAAACAGGCATCTGGTTCTGGAAATGATCTTGTTTGGCCTTTGCACTGAGTTTCTTTGGCAGACCATTCATGGTTGAGCTCATCCTTTGATACGATTTTTTACCTCAGACCACCGAGAGTTATGCCGTGAGTCTAATAATAGCTGTAGACATAGATAGAATAGTTTGGGCAAGGCAAAGAGGACATCCTGTGAACACCTTTTCAGCCCTATCTGGTACAGGTGACTGGTAGGTACGGTCGCAGAATTGTGCCCTTAATGGAATCCAGCAAATGTTATTGCGATTCGAGAGTTTTGAACTATGACTACTTGTTCACCTAAGGAGCATTTCGAAGACGAGCCTGTTTAATGAGGTCAACACCGTCGGCGCTGTTTAGGGTAAACATGGAAGATAACGTGCAAGCAGTGGGGTCGTTTGCCCCCGATACGACGAATACGGGAAAAAACCAAACTCAGTTCAGATGTCATAAACCTTGTGGGAAGCGCTTGTCAGACACTGTGTCAGGAGAGGAGTTGAGCGGTCTGTGGAAATGTTGAAATCACCAACTTCATTGAAATGTCAAGGATGGCCAAAGGAATATCACACAATTACCACTTCCCTGCCACATGTACTATGCCTAATTTCCACTTTTTGCAGCTGCTTGGAGGAAAGAACTGGAAGAAGCAATTAGTTATCTATCCGCTTTCGCAAGGGGACTGGGATTTCGGGGTCGGTCTCGTTGGCAGCTAATCTCAAACGAAAACTACAGCAACGATGTATGACCTGGATTACGCTTGGGGTGGTTTGCTCGGCCGGGTAAGTTTAGCCACTATATTCGGAATCACACCCGCATTGTCACAAAACGTCAGCGTGTACCTATGTTCTCTATATAACGCCCTCGGAAACTGAGTAATTCGAATCCTGTTTGCCATTCTCGGTTGTTCACCTGTGCTCTTTCGGTCCATCGAGTTCGACGCCAAAGTGTTTGGGGTGGGCTTCTTAATCTGAAGTCACGATGGTAGTCGGTGATGGAAGGGAACAAAATCCAGACCACTGAAGACGTCGTTCATTGTGTACTGGTGTGTCTGTTCTGCGCCCAGAAGATGAAAATGCTGGCACAGTAACTCAATCATTTCATCAGGCGTATTAACAAGTGGTTACAAGGTGCCCATACTACAACGAGTATTCATTTTCACTCTGCATGGCTCAATTTCGGCATGTGGTCACAGCTGGGCTGTGAATGTGTGCATCGCACAGCCCTGTTTTCACTTTTGGCTGACAGTAATCGTCGACTGCGTGCTAATCAATGCCATGTTTTCTCAGTACTGTATGCAGTGGTGATGCGCATGATCTATTGAATATTTGGATAATGCCGAGGTAGGTCACACTGCCTGATTCATCCATCTGCCGTCCCAAGCTTATTTCAAGCTTGGAGGTGTGATTTGGGTGCTGCGAGTTGTCTGATAGCTGCGACATGATTCATAACATTGGTAGTCAGGCATGGTTGAGCGTGCTTCCACGTGCGTAGCTCCAGATGCCTAAAAATTTTTCTAAATGTACACTGAATGTTTCTTTTTGAACTGAGGCCGGACATGGGTTTACGTGGGTGGTTCCGCCGATAAATGGTTTCGTTTTTTAACGATCGGCAGTACTGGATGAGTAAATACAAGTAGGCCATAAGGTTTTGGCACAGAAAGGTCAGGGATGGACATTGAGACACTGGCTAAAACAAAAATACACTGGATAGGTTAGCGTTAACCATTATCCTCTTTGGTCTTGTTAAACGAGTTATGACCACTTTCGCTCGTATTCGCAGGAAGAATGCTGGCTTCTGTTTCGGAGTTAACAAGGTAGTGACATTTCCTCTTGGTGCCCTTGACGCACGACAAATCGATATTTCAGCCAGCTAGGGTTGCTCCTCATGCATCCCAAGCAGATAATTCCCTTGCATGGTACGGGCTTTTCCGAAGGTGTATCTTTTTTGATAGTCCCTTGCCCCCTATAAATACATGATGTTAAACCAGTTGTTCATGGTTTTTGATGTGGCGGCAGCGGCGAAAGGTGGGCATGCATATTGTTAGTCACGGCCTAGGACTTCGGAGGGTAAAGATTTCTAGGTAGTGCTGCAGAGCTCCGTCATCTCAACATCAAGGCATGCAAGATTTTGATGACGGACCGATTGCAGGGAACAGGCCTGGATGAGGTTTCCAATATTTTATCACCTGAGGCTGCAACATCATGAGTTTCAACGAACTGAAGTGTCACCAGCATAGTTTGCACCAGATGCCTACCTTTTAAAAAAAGTAGCAAAATGTCATCATCGATACAAAGCAACAGGAAAACACGTCGAACGGCGTGGATGCTTGGCCTTATGTATTCAACGCTGCAAACCCATTAAAACTATAGAGGTCAGCGTTAGCACTAGGTATCTTCAGACTGTAAGCTATCGGTTTTGAAGGACTGCCTGCCTCTGCAATTCACAGAATGTTTCTGAAATGAAAAAACTACCAAGAAAAATTATGTCAAGCAAAAGGGGTGTTAAAGGGCTCTGTTCAGATCTGAATGGTAGGAATAGAACGCGTAAAAGTACTACAACATTTTGAGGGGTTTTGACCAGTTGGCTGAAGGATGGGAGAGGGTTTCCATAACACGCTTCCGTGACCAAGAGCAGTTTGCCATCATTTTCTCTGGTTGTCAACCTACGTACGTAATAAGTAATGGGAAAATATGGCTTCCAAATAAGGACGACAACTTGGTTGTGGTTCAACTTATGCCCACTTGGTTGTTGAGTGTCAAACCGACGTTGGCAGGTTTATGAAGGAATGGCTTGGACGGTGTCTTATACGGAAAGGATATAGAGGATGCATACCAACCACCTCCAGTCTTTTTTCATATCTGTGAAGCTAGCGTCATCAGACCGATTCGGCCGATCTCCTTTTCTGCTTTTTATGCTTGATTTGTGTTTTTGGAGTGACTGACAGAAGGGTCAAAACCGTATACCAGGTTAGGCCAAACCAAACTGTGAAATCGTCTACGATGGAGTTACCTAGAAATTAACTTCAGAGTTACCAACATGAAGTTAGCGCAAAATGCGTTTTTGTCGTAGTTAACGTAGGATCCCAGTTTTCGGGGGATAACAACACTGCAGTTATCATCCAGCAGTGATGCTTCTCATTAAATTGTACGCAAACCAATTCTAAAATGTCCGCCGTGTCTCGGAATCACCACACCTTCTAGGAGCGAATGCAAGCCCATCGTTATCCACTTCTGAAACCGGATAAAATCTACCTGTAAGATAACTACACCAAACTGACCATTGGTATTCTCGCCGTAGTTTCAAGCCATCATCGAGAAGGGGGATTTCCAAAAAAACTCAGAAGGCTAGTCGCTTATTGAAAATTGAATCTAGCACTTTCTTCTTCAGTGAAAAACCTTATTAAACGGCGACGCAGACGTTATAAAATTTAGTTGATACGTGGCATGCTGATCCTTATTAATCGATAACTCGGTCGCAACTGGCAAGATCAAACGCTATAAAAATATGCCGCCTCAGTGGTCAAAAATAATTATCCACCTATCTGATGTGGCAGGCAAGTTGTTGCTCTTCTCTAGATCCATATTGTTAGGGTGGGGGGGGGAATTTCCTTGCCACTGTTTCGGAGGTAATGGACAAGAGAGACAACGGCCTGGTTTCAGCGGGTTGTTAACCTCTCCCGAATATGGACGTTGTGTACCCTAATTACCAAGGGCTGGACACTTCTCATTGATTAATGAAATATCAAGTAATCTGTTCACCGGATCTATCAGACGCTGTTCTGCACTCCATAGAGCTTCTTTGTGAATTTTCTCTGACCCCGGGGAGGTGTTTTTCGTGAGTAGTAAGAAGTTACTCCACATTATCATTTATAGTTGGACAAATCTCAGCGTGTTTGAAACATGCTGGACTTCTGTAGCTTCCAACCATAGCACACTGCTTGCATCATATGTTGGTGTTTTCAAGGTGAGACTGGTTCTTCACGGCATTAACAACAGCAAGGCTTAATATTGGTCATCGTCCTACGATACTTATTTCCGAAAATTGAAACTGAAAGCTTTCTTCAAATAGCTAACTAGCATAATTGCTAATACACGTATAGTACATCAGCTGCCTACCTGGTCGTTTGGAACTTATGCCGAATTCGAAACAAGAAACGGAGTAAAGCGATTCAAACGAGCAAACCTCGCCAACAGAAAGTAAGTTATTGTTCAAAGTGTCAGGCTTAGCAGAAGGCCTTTGGCTGAAAAAAAGTGGAAACAAGGTTATATGAGTAATTCATATCATCATATCAAACATTCCAGTTTCCTGTAATGAATTGATTTCTTATATTTGTTTGAACCCACGGAAACTGCCAGCGTTTATTTGAATGCTTTAAGAATGGAATATGACGGTAAGATTTAGTGGGGTTTTTCCAGCTGTCTTGATTTTTCTTCGGTGTCAAAGCTAAATTTCATTTGCTTGCTAATTTAGAACTCACATTTGAGGAGAAGGAACGATTACAGTATATCAGACACCAAAAGGCCCAGGTTATGAAAAACATCGAGGTAATAAAACTTATATTTGACTTCTGGTAGTCGTTAAAACTCGAATTAAATGATATTACGAATCAAATTGAAAGTCTCGGATTCTCAGTCGATGGGTATGTGGACCTGATTTTCACTTACTTTCTGGTAGAGAGGACCCGTCTCTGAGGCGTCTTGCCCTTGCTTGTAAAAAATTTAATAGTAATCCAAAACAGGTTTGGTACTGTGTCGTCTTATGATTATTCTGAAGGGTTTAGAGTACTTGTTTGAACAAAATATAATTGAGCAGTCTCCAGAAGATGTTGCGAAGTTCTTTATTGATCAGAACGATAACTTATCGAAGTATGCCGTTGGTACTTACATTGGAGAAGTGTAAGTAATTTTTAATCCAATGTATTTATGCAATTTATATTTCCTCTTAATACCTGACTAGGTTTCATTTCAATGGATACCTTTGTGTGTCACATTACAGCTGTGTATATTGATCTTACGAATTCATGTATTTCAAACGAGCGTTTAAGTTTCTGCGTATGTGTGTCCATCTGAGTTATGAAGAATTCTATTTAGATAGCTAATAACATATTTTTTGCGTCGTTTATGGTGTATGTGCATCACATCAATCAATATTACTGGTTCGTTACACCTATGCACACATTAAGTAAACTTCAATTGAAATGTTTTACCGGAGTTTGTCATATATTTGGCTGTCAAGTCATAGGTGAGTGGGACGAGGTGGGAACCTGCAGCTCATTAGGTATCTTTCCAGTTGTGTCTTGGTATTTATAGTTATTGCAGAGATCCATTGATTTAGTTAAACCGTTCATATAGTTTTATTTTCTTTGAATATTGGCTTTATCATTCAACCAGGTAACTAGGTTATGATAGTAGATTCCAGTAATGATATAATTCTTGAAGGATATAGTTTCTTTGTTATATGCTGAAACTTTCTACATTGTTTTCATATTAAACCTTTCATTATAAACTGTTACTTCGACTGACGTCTAATATATTTTTAAATTGTGGCGAAAGGTTTTTCATTTACCGTAAGGTTTTAGGGTGCTTTTCGCCATAACCGATAGTACGACCTAACAATCTACGAGCGTTACGAGCCTAACAGACTATCGCTCAAAAGAATCAACTTTAACGCAAATCAAAGCGTCAACCACCACCACACTGGATTGCGAAGAGTAACTGCCTTTTTCTGGTTAGTGATCGTAACGTTTAACTTGCTGGAGCAGTGGCATGGTTTGGATTCTTATTTAACACTTGGTTACTCACACTATGCGATCGATCCCCTCTGACTGGTTTCAATCGGTGGTAATCCCAGTCTTCAAAAATGGCGAGAAGTTCTCTTGTACTAGTCACAAAGAAATCAACCTAACGAACATGGTATCTAAGATTCTAGATTCCATAATCATTAGACGCTTGAGTTAAGCTTGAGAACAGCAAGCCCGAGAAAACTAAGCAGGCTTCAGATCTGGCCATGAGCGTACCGACCAAATATCCACATTCTGTCAGGTTTTGGGAGACAGGCATGCTTACCGACACCTGACAATAGCTGTATTTCTTAACCTTATGGCGGCACTTGACTCCATCAGTCGAGAAGTCTTATGGCAATGTCTTTCACTGAAAGGGGTACCGAGTAAGTATATCACCTGATTGACGGCTCTTTACTCGAACACCTTTGGGGATGTTAAACCGTATAGTGATATCTTGGGTAGGCTGTGTACGCCCATTAGTGTCCGTCAGAAATGCCCACTATCTCTGTTCTTGTTCATTTTTATTATAGACGTTCTTATAGAGGTCTTCCTTTCGTCATGTGACTACGCAGGGACTGACCTAATCACAAGAGAATTTTCAGCAGACCCTAAAATACTCAGATGACATAGTCTTATTAGATGAAGACGCTGGCAAAATTCAGTCTTCTAGACACCTATTTATTATATTATTGTCCCTTGGGTTCCGAGTGGAACATAGGGCTTCAGTAGCACGCCTCCAGTGACCTCTGTTCTCTGAGATCTTTTGAACCTGGTCCACGACAGCCCAAAGCTCTCATTTCCTCCTCGCATGACCTCCTCCATGTCACCCTCGGACGTCCAACTCGTCGCTTCCCATGGGATTCCACTCGAGGGCCTGACGCGTGTGTCCTCAGTCGGCCTTCTCAGTGCATGCCAATCCATCTCCACTTCTCTGCATATTTGGTGATAGGTTCTTGGTTGGTTCGTTCCCAGAGTCCTTGTTGCTATTTTTCTGGCCATCTGATCTTCAGACAGCGTAAGCAGTTGTTGATGAATGTCTTAGTTTTTGGAAATCTTGTGCGCGCCAAGTCTCTGAGCCATACAAGAGCACTGACTTGACGTGGTGTTGAAAATCCGTATCTTGTTCCGCATGCTGAGTGCAGAAGATCTCCACACTGGTTTCAGGCTATGAACGCCTGTCTTGCTTTTCCGATTCTGACTTTGACGTCCTCGTCCGTCCCGCCTGTAGTTGAAACAGTGCTTCCTAGATAAGTGAAGGAGGTTACTTCCTTCAAGTTTCTCCGTTGACGGTGATTGGAGTTTGTTGTTGTTGTTGATGGTGGTGGTGCGGTATCTTCATCACTTCTGTCTTCTCTATATTCACCTGAAGTCCCGTCTTAGCTGCCTCTTCTGTCAACTTGTTAGTTTTTGCCTGCAGATCTTCAAGTTTATGTGACATTAGGCAAGTCATCGGCGAAATCCAAGTCTTCTAGGTTCTTTTCCGTCGTCCAGTGTATCCCCTCTTCTCGCTGCCTACTGTTTGCTGCATGATCCAGTCCACCACAATAAGGAATATCATGGGGATAGTAGGCAACCTTGTTTCACTCCTGTCTTCACTTCAAAGGCATCACTGAGCTTCCATTGGGATTACTTGGCATGTGGCATCTTCATATAGTTGTTGAATGAGGCGGATAAAGGTTTGCGGTACTCGTAGTATTGAAGCAGTTTCCAAATTACTTCTCGGTCGACGCTGTCAAAGGCCTTCTCAAAGTCGATGAAGTTGAGGTATAGAGCTGATTGCCATTCTACGCTCTGTTCTATGATGATACGAAGCGTTGCAATTTGGTCAGCACATGATTTGTACTTCCTGAAGCCCTGTTCCGGTCGCAGTTTTGAATCCAGTGCGTCTTTAAGCCTCTCCAGATGATGCGGCTTAATATTTTACTTGGGGTGGACAGGAGAGTGATTCCGCGCCAGTTCTTGCAAGCACTGAGGTCTCCCTTCTTCGGCAGTTTGACAAGGTAACCCTTCTTCCAATCGTCAGGTACCTTCTCTTCCTTCCACACCTTCTGCAATAGTGGTGTGAGCATGTCCGCTGTTGTCTCTGCATCTGTTCTCAGTGCTTCTGGCGGTATTCCATCTGGTCCTGCTGCTTTCCCGCATTTCAGTAGCTTTATGGCGTTCAGGACTTCCATTTTCGTTGGGGGATTTATGTTCACTTGTAATTCAGCGGCTGCAGGTGGTATTTCTGGACGAAGTGCAGGTGGTGGTCGATTCAAGAGCTTCTTGAAGTGGTCGGCCCATCGTTTCCTTGTTTCTCTTCTTTTGTAATTAAATTTCCTTCTTCATCTTTTATTGGTTTCATCTGTGTTGGTCTCTTCCTGATAGCAACCTGTTTTGATACATGTCGTCATCTCTCTTACCTGCAGCCTGTTCTGCTTCACTTGCAGTGTTCGTGAAGTGTCTTTTGTCTTTGCGTGCACTCTTCTTCACTTCTTTGTCCAGTTTTTACATTGTGCCAGTTCCTCTGTCGTTAGCATCCTTGCACTGGTTATCTTCTGCTTCACCATCCTCCTCTCCTCTACAGCTTCAGGTATCCGTCGAGATCCATCCTTGTCTTCTTTCTTCTTCCTCCTAATACGGTGTGCAGGTTCTTTCCCATAGCTTTCAAAGACTTCCAGTGTTCTTCACACAGGTTTCTTCAGGGATGTCCCTCGACGTCTCCCATTTTGTCTTGATGGCTGCTTTGAAGATCTCCTTTGTAGTTTCATCCTTCAGTTCCGAGTGTTGTACTGAATTGAGGTCTATCACCAGCTTCCTTGAAGGCTTTTAACTTGATTTGGAAGGTTCCTTGCACTAGATAGTGGTTGAACCTACATCTGCTCCTCTTCTTGACCTTGTGTAAGTAGACTGCGTCTCCATTTTCTTGAGATTGAGATAAAGTCGATTTGATTTTTAGTGTGTCCATCTGGTGAAGTCCATGTCGCTTTGTGGATATCCTTGTGCCTGAACACACTGCCTCCAATCACCAAATCGTTGAATGCACAGAATTCTGCAAACAATTCTCCATTCTCATTCATTTCACCTAGCGCCTCTCGACCCATGGTTAGTTCTCTTCCCGTTGTCCCTCCAGTTTGGCATTCATGTCGCCCATTAGAATTTTGATATCGCCAACTGACGTCTTGTCCAGTGTTGATTGAAGTTGTCTGTAGAATCCTCCTTTTTCTCTTGCTCTGCATTATTTGTAGGTGCATAACATTGTATGATTGTGACCTTTCTTCCTTTTGAGTGAACTTGCTGTCATGATCCTGGTCTAGACACCTTAAGTGACAATTTTTTTATATTCGGGATGTGTTTCTCGCCACCCACATGCAAATTATTACCCCAGGACCAGTCTTTCACGATGCCCCGGACAATAATAGAAAGTGCAGTGGTTGAGCGCCTTGAACGCCTCACTTGCCTGGGGTTGGATCAGCAATGGTGGCTCAGTGACCGACGAAATCTGCACAGATACAAAAGGCTCGGTTGGCTTTTGCCAACTTACACCATGCGTGGTGCCGCCCAGATATCCGACTGTCTGTTAAGGGTCGAGTGTACTGTGCTGAAGTCCGCTCTGTTCTACTGTTTGGCTATGAAACATGGTTATCAAAGGTAAAAGACGTGAGAAGTCTTGATGTGTTTGACCAGTGTTACCGTTTTAGTATAGGGCGTGTTTCGTGGTGTCATCACGTGAGTTATGCAGAAGTCAGGTGTAGGGTTTTAGGAAAGAGAGGTAAGGCAATTAGTGCTGTTGTGAACCTTCATCGACTGAGATGGCTGGGACATGTGTTACGTATGTTCAGTCACCGTCTGCCTCACCCAAAAATGTTAGCCGAAGTAGGTTCAGGCTGGAAAATGGCTCGGGATGGCATCAATGCATGAAGTTCTTTACTGTTTGTTTGAGGCATATTGGGAAAGGTGGAATAGTCATTTGGGGTCCGTGGGACAAGAGAAACCACTGGTTAGAGACTCTAAGTGATATGGCTCAGAACCGATGTCATTGGTTCAGATGCATACACATATTATCTTCATCTTAACCGCAAGGACTTCCAATTTCCTTTCCTTCTCTTTTCGTACTTCCTAGTTCTTTTAATCGATTTTTTTCTCTCTCTTCACCTTCCATTCCATCACGTTGTTACTTGAAGTGCTGATATGACACAATTTGAAACTCTCTAACATCTTGTAATGCTTGAGATAACGGATACCGGAAAGTTATTTCTGATAACTCAGCTGCTCTGTTGTCAAATTTTTATCTTCCTTTTTCCCTACTGAATTCGTATGTGGGTTCAATTGATAAGCTAACCAAACAACAAATCTTTCTTCGAAGTAGGTTTTTACATTGTTCTGTTCATCTAATGAACTCTGAGTTACCGTCTTTTAATGGGTAGCAGCAAGTGAAGTCGTGTAATGTTGAATCAAATCATTCGTACTTTGTTCTGTGACTTCAGGTGTACCATGGGTTAGTGTTTGATTAAGTTCCTCATATTCGTGGTCTGATTTTTCGTGTACGAAAGGTAATCAAGCTCAGTCGACTAAACATTAGAAAGCTGTTTGCCCCGATGCCTCTTATTCGTATGAAACCTTTTGTTAAAAGCAAAGAGCGTTTTATGTCTTCATATGGTAGACAGTCATCGCTGGAATTTTATAAAATTGGGAATCAGCGTTATCTTTTTTCCAAAAAGTTTAGCATATATATCTCACAACCGGGTTTGGTCAATATCTTTGTATTTCGATGTATTTTTGTATTTTGTTTCAAATTCAATCTTAGTTGTAGCGACTTGTAAATAAGTGTGGTCACTGCATGTGGTGAGAAGAGGACTCTTTATTTGGAGTGTACTTACTTAACACTTGCATCACCGCATTTATATTACAACTTAAGGGTTCGGTTTCTTGTGGTGGTTCATATTTGCCCAACATTATTAGCGTATTGTTTGAACATTTTCTATAAGCAAGGTGACTAGCGGTGATCATCTAGTAGTTGGTATCAGCAGTTTTTTGACTAATTGGGGATCAGCAGATAGTACAAAATCTGCTGCTGGTTCTATAATACGTTATGCAAATATGTGTCTAACAGGATCGCTATGCAACAGAGCTAAGTTCCGTGTTCATATTGATTGACTGAATGGTCGACAAAACATGAGCTCAATAGATTGATGTTAGTTTATTTAGTTGAGTCCTGTTGTGTGTGAACGTTTACGTAGTGGTGAACTGAAAACCTGGATAACGGTGTTGTAGATAATATCTCAGGCTGTTAACATCTTTATAGTTAAAAGCTATATAATCATTCAGCAATTGATTTGTGTCATTCAAAATGTCATTTGCATGGATAAGTTATCATCACAAAAGCTTTACAAGAATTACTAAGCTGGATGTCCTCGGTTCGGTTCTAGAAGTTTAGAGAAATTTACAAAATTTTACACCTAGCAGGCATATCTTTACGCTCTCATTGTTTCTCGAGTTTAGTAGTTTCAAAACTCAAAATGCTTCTTTTTTATGGTTAGACGTTTCAACATTTGCCATCATAATAGAACTTATCACAATAACTTGCGAGTGTGTCATGCAAGTCAGTAACCAATTCGATTGGTTATCTCTTTCCTGCGTGGTTTTTTGAGTAGGTTCAAGTTAAAGATTGTTTTATTTTTCAGTCGAAAAGAATTTAATATGCAAGTGTTGGACGCATTTACGAAGTTACATAATTTCAAAGATCAAGAATTCCTGCTAGCCCTCAGGTAAGTTTGTAGATTAGTCTTATATGAGTTGAATGGATGCAGTCTTGGGGACCAGTGTTGTTCCATAAAATTGTTCATACCATATTACTGCAGAAGAAACTAAACATGGATTCACGAAAGTGGATGTACAAGCTTCATGCACACGTTCCATTTATATTGTCACTATGTGCACGGGAATTCAAAGTTCTCGAGACATTGATTCAAAGGTCATACAGTGCTTTGGTGCTCATTCTGAATCGACAGTTAACTGAAGACCCATGTACATTAGCGTAAGAATTTAAGATTTTTGTTGTGGCGAAACATGACTTCCAATCAATCTGAACTTGTTTTTAGCCTAGTTTATTTTCATTTGAAATAAACAGTCTTCAGTGACTACGTGTATTAACTTCGGTAATTTAATTACAACACATCTAAAGCAGCTGAAATCACAAGTTTAATCACATAAAAGTTGTCGAAATAATAGTTAGGCCTTAACCTCGCTTTGTTTGTACATTTCTATCACAAGTCAATTATTGATAGAAAACTTGCATTTCTTAGAGACTATAAACCTCTTTTGTGTTTCTGGATCAAAAATACAGATATTCGCTTATTTAAAAAATAGCTGACAATAATGCAGTTTTTAAATTCATTATGGACGTATTAAAGATTATGGCAAGGCGAATGCGTTTTCTCACTCTATCAGTGACTATCATACCGCAACTTTCCATCACTTTTGACTGCTTTCTTCTTCATTGCTTTATCTTTCAATTCGGTGCATTCTTGCTTGATATGCTGACATGTGTGGGTCGACTTAAACCGCTGTGCAGTAATATCTGATCGTATGTTGATCTTGACTGTAAATATCTTGTCACAGATAACCAGTACATTACCGACTAAGCTAAAAAGTTTGCATAACGCTAGTAATCAAGTATGTATCCACCGCAATCACCATCAGTTACTTGGCCGTATCTGAAACATGCATAATCTCGGATACATCCTTTTTGCTGGATGAATCACTGGTGCATCATTTCGTATTAGGGGTTACCTTTATAAAATGACCTGAGTTCATACTCGCTAACAATAATAAAAATCTTTCAGTCACTCAAACGTTTCTTGCCATCATGGCCACCTAGAACTGGTTGCTTCAGATAGTACGTCTCAGTTAACTCCGGGAATTCGGAGATTTGGGCCGTCATGTTGTTGGTACATAGAGATAGATGTAGAGATGGACATAGAAATAGGCCCCCAACACTAGAAGAAGTTGAGAAAGCGGTAGGTAACCTGGAACGAGGAAGGACAGCAGCACCAGACGGACTACCTGCTGAGGTATACAAGGATGATGGAGTGCTCTTAGTCAGGTTAACGGAAGTGTTAGCTAGTATATGGGAATCAAATACGATCCCCTCTGACTGGTCTAAGTTACTGATTATCCCAGTCTTCAAGAAAGACGAGAAGTCCTCTTATGATAACCACAAAGGAATCAGCCTGACGAACATAATGTCTAAGATTCTAGGTTCTATAATTCTCCAACTCCTGAGTGGAGCTCGGGAACAACAATCCGGAGAAAACCAAGCAGGCTTTAGACCTGGCCGTGGATGTATCGACCAAGTATTCACACTGTGCCAGGTTTTGGAGCACAGACACGCTTACCGGTGCTCGATACTAGCTGTATTTCTCGACCTGAAGGCGGCATTCGACTCTGTTGATCGAGAAGTCTTATGGCAATGTCTCTCACTGAAAGGCGTGACGCGTAAGTACATCATTTTATTGAAGGCTCCCTACTCGAACACTTGTGGGCATGTTAGAGCCTATGGTGAGTTTTCCAGGGAGCTATGCTCATCGAGGGGTGTCCGTCAAGGATACCCACTATCTCCATTCTTATTCAGTTTCATCATAGATATCCTCATGGAGCTCTCCCTCTCGTCACCAGGTCACACAGACGTTGACCTAATCACAGGAGAATTTTCGTTAGACCTAGAATATGCAGATGACATAGTCCTGTTAGATGGAGACGCTGACAAGATGCAGAGTCTTCTGAACACTTTGAGTGGGAATTTGAAAATATTTGGGATGCGTTTTTCACCACCCGAATGCAAATTTCTGCTCCAGGACTGGTCTTCAGCGGTGCCGCGGCTAACAATAGAGAGTGAAGTGGTTGAGTGTGTCGACCACTTCACTTACCTGGGAAGTAGGATCAACCCTGGTGGGTTAGTTGCCGATGAAATCTCTGCACGGATATAAAAGGCTCGATCGGCTTTTGCGAATTTACACCACCTTTGGGGCCGCCGTGATATCCGATTGTCTACTAAGAGTCACGCGTACTGCACAGCAGTCTGCTCTGTTCTACTGTATGGCTGTGAAACATGGTCATTGAAAGTGGAAGACATAAGAAGGCTTCAAGTGTTTGACCACTGTTGCCTTCGTAGTGTGGGCAGTATTCGGTGGTGTCACCACGTGAGTAATGCACAAGTCAGGAGTAGAGTTTTAGGGAGAAGAGGTAAGTCGGTTGACGGGGTTGTGAACCTTCATGGAGTGAGATGGTTGGGACACGTGTTACGCATGCCTAGTCACTGATTGCTTCATCACACAATGTTGGCTGAAGTAGGTCCAGGCTGGAAAAGGCCCGAGGTGACCAGACTAAAACATGGCACCAATGTATGAAGTCTCTGACTGTTGGTTTAAGCCATGTGGGACGATGCAGACTAGGTGGATTGGGTCCGCGGGACAAGAGGGACCAGTGGTTGGAGACTCTATGGGATATAGCTCAGAACCGATGTCAATGGCACAGATGTATACACACATTATCCTCATCTTAACGACGCTATACCAAATCTCACCCTTTTCTCATTTTTTCTTTCTTTCTTCTCGTACTTAATATTTCTTTTGACTGCATTCTCTTATCTTCATCTTGCCCCTCACTGCCTTTTTACTTGATGTACTGATATGAGGTGTGGCAACTCAGATCGTTACGCAGTAATGCCTGGTCCTAGGTCTATTTGGATGGATGGATGGTACTCTCACGTAATAATTACAATGCAATGGCTACTAATGGTAATCTATGTACCAGTTTAAGAGAACTATGTTTAAAACACGGGGTGAGGGGAGAGTGACCGATGTAGTTTTACAGTTTTTATGTGTGTGAAATACTACGTCGAACAAACTCACGGAATCTTCAATTTCCTACTGGAACACTAATGTGGGGTGAGGTGGGGTGTATAATTCTGGACCTTTTACATTACTTCAAAAAGGAATCTAAATGGAGGATGGTGATTTATCTGAAGTACGGGAACCCATGTTCTGGTAGATTGGATGGATTAATGATTGAAACATAGTTTGACTCAGCAGCGTTATGTATAATACAGCAATTGGGCGACAAAGGTTGTCAGCATATAAATCAATTGTCAATAAGCGACTTCAGTAATGATTGGTACAAAACATGCAAGTAAAATCTTTCAACATCGCCTTCAAACTAGTTTTCAATAGAGCTGCAAAATGAACCAATGTACTGGCGGTGTAAGGTTTAAACAGAACTAATTCTGCTTGATAGTTTTATAAAATTGCAAGCAGTATGAGTCATTTTGGAGGATCAGATACATTCATTCACCCTTAGTGTTAGTGAAAGTTGTTACAAGCGTACTGTCTACTTAAATTTCGCATGGCGAAAGTGCAGTTCATATCAAGCAGGCAAACTATATGTGTAATTTTGATTACAAAGTTATCCCAAAATCTGGGATATTTTTCTATAACTTCGCACTGTTACCCGTAATATTTAGCGCGTTGATTTGGTTCATGACATGGTAATTTTACTTCAGTTGCATTGACTACGGAACTTTTGTCCTTATTCGTTGACTGAATAATGTCTAATATTATATTGATTGCCAGTTTGTCTGTGATAGCGATTGTGCAAGCATTTTTGTCACAGTAGATCTTTATGTGAATTGCGTTGGCTTACGACTACATGTACTTACATGTAGATGTCTGTAGACCAACAAGATGCATGTAACTTGACGCTTGTTCAGTAAAGATATGAAAAGTTGTAGATGAAATTCGACATAGTAACTGGCTGTTAAGGAAATCTTGTGATCCAGACTGCTTAATACTAGTTAAGCCTAAAGCCATGAGACAGTGGAAAAGACTATCAAACTTTATCATTTGAGTCTTGAACAAAGATTTTTTATCACTACATATATGCAAGTATCACTACGTGCAACACTACAATCGATTCCAACTCCAGTTGTATTTTAACTAAATCTAATTAGGACCGTTGATAAACTCAAATGGCTACCGGATGCATCTTCACGTTTCTCTCCTTGAGATATCCATTATTTCTGACCACAGTGCCCTTTGCAGCATAATTATGGCAGGTTTCTTTGTTCAGTCAGGGTCCCCACAAGTAACTCCTTATATTTGAGTGTGTAAAGAAGGTCATTAGGGTCCCGACCTTTGAATGCTATCAGTCATCATGTATCATCGTAAGCATTCACTTTTCTACTGTTGTTGTACTTGTAAGCGCATTTAATGTTCTCATGATGAGTACTTCTAGTAATTTTTTGTATAGGGCTCTGTCTTTACCCATTTGTGTCGGATGATATTTGTATCAATTTGTAAAAATATATGCAATTTTTTCAATCACACTTTTCACTTTTTAGACAATTCCTTCTTAGTTTTCAATTGCCAGGTGAAAGTCAGAAGATTGATCGTATTTTGACAAGTTTCTCAGAACGTTATGTAGAACAGAATCCGTCAGTCTTTAACTCACCACGTGAGTTCTGTTTTTCATTCCCACATCTTTAAAACCTTTCACTCACCTTGTGCAGACGATGCTTGCTCAGGATAAATAGATTATTCATACTTCTACATAAAAAGCTAACAGTAGCCACGTGATTGACAATGGCTCCAGGAGTAGACTGTATGCCTAGATCAGTTCCTAAAGTAAGAGGTATGGTTGTTATGTATTTACTAGTGACGGATGGTTCGTGTGTTGAGATTGATTTGACGGTTGTGTGGCAGCAGTGTAAGATATTTTGTTCTGTACATCAGTTGAAAAGACTGTTGATATATTGACAGATTAATTAATGCAATAACGCAGGCCGTTTTTCTTCTTGATAAAATGTCTGTATGCAGATAGCACCACATAGGTAATTTTTCCTAATTTTTACAACATACGGTTTGCATGTATGCATTTGACTACACGTGAAGTATCAACTTAGCAGTTTCAGCTGTTGATGAATGAAACTATCTTCAAATTAGTCTCTAAAAACCAAGCACCTGAACGATTGGGCATTTATTTTCTCATGATTATTATCATCATTGGATTTTGTCTCGCGTATCCTCGTTTGAGCGACTGCTTAAGGTCGTTTCTCTTCATATAATGCGTATGACTAGCTACTGAGTTCGTCTGTCTGTAAAGATACTACCAAATCGCTTCACCGAATCTTGAACATCTTGATAGTTTTCGTCTAATTTTTTTCTTTTTGCTCTTCTCGACACTTTTTCTCTTGGGTAGGTGCCGCACATTAAATAGGTGCAAGGTTTTATATTTTTCCGTATGTTTCTTCTAAAAACAAGAAATAGACGATTTTGAGACTAGGTGATTTGGCTGAAAACAAAGCACTGAGATCCAGTGCACCGAATTCTCGTCGTGTCGTTTTATTCCTTGTTCACTTATACCCTACCTGTTCATTTTGATATTTTTCTTCCTCTTATTAATTTTCCATCTGTGCTGTCACGGAGTGCAACAGTTTAGAACGCTGACTAATGGAACTCTCTGTATTCAACTGTGATAGGTCTAATAAGAAATTATTTCATGTTTGAGTCTCGTCATTTCTTCTGCTACTGTATGATGTTTTGGAAATCAGTCATACTCTCACTCTGACAGTCAGATAGATATATGTAACAAAATTTACAGTAGCAATTCAGTACACCGAATATTGATTTGTGTATTTACCCGGTGTCTTAATATGTTTACTACATTTTTTTTAGACGAGGCCTATGTACTGTCCTACGCTGTTATTTTGTTAAACACCACCTTGCATAATACCAATGCGAAAAGTCATAGTCTTGGCCTGGCTGAAGAGAAGACTTTTGTACGTACTATGATGGAATTCGATGAGGAAACTAACTTATCGGAAGAGCTTGTTCGTGTAAGCTTTCTAATGTTATTCTCGTCTTTGCTGAATCACAGAATCCTATTCATTTTTCACTGATTCCTTTTTTCTTTCATTTATTGATTACTCTTCATTGTCTATAATCACCAATCAATCATAAAATGTACAATGAAGCTCAGGATTTCGCATCATCCCACTATTCACATCGCTTATAATGACTGTAAACTCCAATTGTTCATATGTCATTGTTTAGTGTGCACCTTAAAATGAAGAACTGTCGGTTTTCTGCCTAACCAATACTTGCCCTACTATTACAATTTTTATCATCCCTTCTGAAACCTACTGCAATTCAGACTCCAATTAAGAGCCACATTAAGAAATAAATAATCATATTGTGAATATCTACTGATAGTTTGATTATTTTTCCTAGCCATCAACAAATCAGTACAAAGACATAGAGGATTCATTTCATCCGAGTTTTACTGGTTGGTTAGTTAGAAGTGAATGCTTTTGTGACATTTTAGTGTGACTTAGCAACTTGAGCTTCAAGGAGGTGCATAGGAATCACAGTATATCAATTAAAAATTCAAAGTGTTATGCTAGGGTAATCTGAATCTTGTTAGATCCTTATGGAGCTTTTGGAAAGTAGTGAGTTTTTTCACTAATGTTCGTTTCTGAACAAAACCGATTTCTTGCCAGAGACAGATGGATAGACGAAATCAACGTAGAAGCTTGCACACTAGTGGATCGGTTTAAGTTACTACACTTCACAATATTATACAGGGAACAGGTGAATAGAAAATGACTGTTATCCAAGAAAAGAAAAATTGTGTGATACAAACAATTTGAAGATGAAGGCTAGTGCAAATATTCAAACCTTAGAAGATGCCAAAGAGTGGATTCCTCTGCTCCATTGTGAGTAGTCGATTTCCAGCTATGTAACCTAGAGTCCTTAACCACTGATTCCTATCATCTCAGGAACTCCAACCAGATAGTCTACATTTCCCTCATGACTCAAAGCAACACTCAGCAACTTCATCGACTGGTGCCTTTTCCTAGCGTAATCCAACTTCCTCCAATATGACACGTCAAAGTAGGTGGTGGATTGTCATGCGCAGTACATGTCCAAGCCACCTCACTTGACTAAAGATTCACAACCTCGTCAACGCACTTGCTTTTCCTGCCTAGTACTCATCGCATGGCCTCAACGTTGCTCAAACGATGATTCCACCGAACGGAAGCAATGCTATGAAGACACCTGTGATCAAAACCATGTGATCGCTTTACTTTTACTTTTAACGGCCATAGTCTACAGGCGTATAACAGAACAGAACGAACTGCAGCACAGTATCTCGCCGTCGGCGCCACAGATGACGCAAGTTGGCAGATGCCAAACGAGCCTTCTGTATACAGGCTAAGATTCGTCAGCCACCAAACCATTCGCACCGATGCAACTCCCTAAGTTAGTTAAGCGGTCGACACATTCCACCACTTCACTCCTTATCAGTAAACTGGGAATACTTGCAGCAGACCAATCTTGAAGCATCATCTTATGTCTGATAGGTGCGAAAAGCATACCAAACATACTCAGATTTCAATGCGTCCAGAAGACTCTGCATTTTGTCAGCGTCTTCACGTGGCAGGACTACATCGTCTACATACTCCAAGTCAACTAGATGACCTCCAGGGAGTAGGTCAATCCTTGTGAAGTCAGATGTAACTAAGGTTATGTCCATTTGTATGTCTATGGAAAAGTTAAGTAGGAACGATGACAGTGGACATCCCTGGCGGACACTACTAGTTGTCGTAAGTTCTGATGATAGCTCTTCGTAAGCCCTTACACAGCTGCGTGAGTTCGGGTATAGAGTTTCATAAGCACTATGTGCTTGCTCGGTATTCCCTTCATAATCAGATGCTGCCACAATACCTCACGGTTGACATAGTCAATGGTGCCTTCAGGTCAGGAAATATGACAAGTATCGGCCACTGACCGGTAGTTATATTTGTGTTTCAGGACCTGTCGGAGAGGGGAAGATATGATTGATGCATTCTCGACCAGGTCTAAAACTTGCCTGGTTTTCTCTAGTTTGCTGTTCTTGGTGATTTTTATTGTCAGTCAGTCAGCATGGACTGGACTGTTCTAATCTGAAAATCACCTTTTAATTCAGGTTTCGCAGGAAACCTTCAATTTGGATTAGAACCTATATGCAGTAAGTGAGGTCATATATTTCAGAGGACGGAACACAATTACGTGTAGGGTGCTGAAAAGAAGAAAAAAAATAATTGAGGACTTAAGTATTTCAGTGTTGTGTTCCCTTTAATCCTGATCCAATGTGTAATATGAGTAGAAGATTTTTAACTTACATATCCGTAGCTTAATCCATCTCATTGTGTATTTTTATGGACAGAAAATTTACCATGCTATCAAATCAGAACCACTTCGAGCTGTTTCTGATGATTTATCTGTGCGTGGAGCGAATCAGACCAATGCAATTTATAAAGGATGGCTCTGGAAACTTGGTGAGCATTGTCTTTAAGTTTTCATCGAATTACCAGTAACTGTAGTTATTTTGCACCTATTGCAACATTGTAGTTGGATGCATTTTGGGAACAATGCAGCAAGAACATGATTGTTGTTTAGAATTCTATGACATAATTTTGTTTCATAGGTTTTTCACCAGCCGTATACAACATAAATAAACAAGTAACTCATCACTGTAAAAAAAAACAACCCCTAAAAACTGTCTGAACAGTCTAAAGATATCAACTAGTGTTGTGAAGACCAGGAAAAAGATTTATGAATCCACAATACAAGCGAAGTTAAAATCATAAAATTCAGTGACACTCGCGACGCGCTATGTAAGACAAGACAAGCGATATTCTAGAGCAAACGAAAGAAGATTAAGTATGCGTAGGAGCGGTTAAACATTCATGTAAATAGTTATCTAGACAAAACGATAAGTAAATGAGATAAATTGTCATAAAAATAACAAATGCAGTCATGTTGAAACAATAGCTAATGAAGGTACTAAATTGTGAAAAGCGCAAAAGGGTGAAAAGTCACTTATTATCACAGCAGTGAAAGACTAGTAACTATCTCCATTCGAATGCATAATTCGACCCTAACTCATTGCATAGCAATGGCTTCACCACTTCGAAGTAGGTATGAAGTCTTTTGTCTGTTCAGTACGGTGAAAGATTTCTTTACAAGCAAAGTATGTTTGTGAAATCCCAAAGAAGTAAAAAGAATTAGATTTTTAATGTTTCATGACTTTATGAAAGACACTTCTTCAGTATATCCGAAATAACATGTTGTATACACGTAACTGAATTACTCACGCATACAAACTAAGTTTCTCATTCATATTGCTTTTCTCACATTCATGCACACCCACTTACGCATTCACATACATTCACATTATCACCCTCGGTTGACTAGTTAATCATTGATGATGAAAACACTCAACTTCATCTAGCTATTTCTGTTTATTTATGAACTGTGTGGTCTGATTTATCTCCATTGTCTATTTAAAGATGCAATAACTTGTACACATTCTATTCCACGAGGTTGCGAAACATCAGAAACTTACTTCATAAGCCATTTACCTAATTCTCAAACTATTTTATCTTATCATATCAAATTTTGGTCTTGATATCTCCAAAAAAGACTTTTTTATTACTTATTAAAGCTTTTAAATCGAGTCTAACTCACTACACAGGATTATATTTTTCTAGTTCAAAACTCTAACTGCAGCTGCGTTTAAGCTCGCCATCAATCAGGCTCACTCAATGAAATTGTTATCAGTGATTTTGACGGACCATTTTTAAAAACCTACTCGTACACATAAGTGCAGAAATCTTAACTACTTTTACAATGTTGACATTGGTGGTCAGTAACGTCACTTTTATCTAATTTTAATGAGAGCTTTAGACAATACTAATAACTTCTCGTGTATTGCTTTGAGAATAAACTTGCTGACTGCTTTACGTTTCCAAGAACAGTTCTTATCCCCCAAGTTGACCAATACCAAAACCAGTCCTGTTTCCTATCTTACCGTTACAATTGATGTTCAAAATATGTAAGGATGTTTTACTTTAGAGTATGGTGATATCTTTGGATAACTATAACAGTTTTTGTTCTGGAAGCTATAAGCGCGGGTTAGTCAGAACACTTTATAATAGAACTAGGAAATTATGTTCTGCGAACGAGTTAGAAGAAAAACTAAGTGTTTCCAAGAGAATGGATATCCTAAGAGACGTGTTATAAAGTATGGAGAAGAAATCGAGAGCAATCAACACCCAACTGGGAAAATGAAGGTTTTTATACACCTTACAGTCACGAGAGAGAGAGAGAGAGAGATTCAGTATCCAAGCAAATAGACACAGGAATTAAAGGAGTACTGAGAAGGAGCTTTCCTGCAACTAGACTTGTATCGATATGCAATACCATATGCTTGGTAAACCAGTCAAAATTGAGTAATTACCCTCCTCATATCACCTCCAATTTCGTCTGTGGGTTCACATGCACTTGTGGTAGCCAGTGTATTGGAAGGACTGAAAGAGGGGCATCCATTCGGTTAGCTGAGCATATCCCCAAGAATCTACTCTTGAGAAGAAGTATAATTCTAACCAGTGCGATTGCAAGACACCTCGTAGATACAAGACATCAGGTTGAAACCTCGAGTGGTTTCAAGATAAGCGTACAGAAAATGTCTGGATTACTGATTTTCGCGTAAGCGTTTGCAATAAAACGCTTTCAAGTTGATTTTTGCATACAGAAGAGTGTGGTTAGTCTCCAATTCCCTTGGTGAATATGATTTTTATAACCAGTCTTTTGATGAGTGCTATTGCTATTGATTCATCTTCTTGAATTGCTTCTTATGTCTTTACGATTGTGTTGTGAAATTATGCGAAGGTCTATGTTTGCATATACCCATTTTGTTATTGTTTCCTCCATGCAATCTAGTTCACACACCTAGATAACTGTTTATAGTTGGCAGAATAACGCTGAATGCTAAGAAACAGCCGCACTTCTGTTCTATAACTCTTAAGTTGCGATTTTTGTTTTTAAAAGCTTTGTATGATTATTTTTTATTACATTGCATACTTTGTCAGTCTTGTTTATCTGCTGGTGTTTCTTTTCCTCCTCCCCCCCCCCCCCCACGTTGTAGGAGGAAGGGTCAAAAGTTGGAAAAGACGATGGTTTGTATTGACAGAAGATAATCTCATGTATTATCTTACACCAGAAGTAGGTTTTCCTGCATTTTTAGCTTATCATTTTAATTTCACTATCTAAAAATATGCATACACTAAATTCCGTATACTAAAGCCTTCTTAAGCATATTTTCTCTGTTTGTTATTGAATGTGAAGTTTTTCGCGTGGTCATGCATAACTCCTAAAAGCTATCGAGTATCCACTTGTTTCCAGTGGTTATTCGGCTGATTTGTGTCATAGTTAAAACAAAGTAAGCATAACTCTAGAAACAAACAAAAGTTCATCTATCTGATGCCACCGTATCCACTTTGCACTGCTGATCATATTATTCCTAATTGATCAGCAAAGTTGTCTAGTATGTTTTGGCTTCGAAACTCAATGATCTATGGTCACGCTTATGCAGCCAAACCACTTACTTCAACTTGAGTATTCGTATGGCAACATGAGCATAAACATATACCGAATTGTTGAATTGTGTAGACGGAATTTGAGCCATTGTCTTTTTACATCTTCAGTCTGAAATTGTTAAATTCGTATTAATGCACGCTTAATACGTTCGAAAAGGTAGACAATCTGTTTGAGAACACCAACATATGTGGCGTAAGAGTAGAACCTGGGAACTGGGTACTATGTAATTTCATATTAGATTTGTTTACTTGATATATCACGAAGTGATACAGTATTATTTACTGGATGACGTTTCGAGCACAATTTATTGTTCATAATCCTATCAGCTTAGTCACAACTTTTATCCATTAAATATTTCGGTATCATTGTTGTATCAAATGACTTAATCTTATATTAAACTAACGCAGACTAGCCGGTTGGGATCCGTGTGGCAACAGAAACCAGTAATTGGAGACTCAGAATCGATGTTAGTGGCGCAGATGTATACACGCTTTGTATTCATCTTAACCGCTACACTGGATTCATTTTCTCATCCCTCCCTCCTCATTTACTGCATCTTAATTCTTTTGACCGATTTATCTTTCTTTCTTCATCTTTCATTTTACTACTTTGTAACTTATTGTCCTAACATGACTTGTCGCGACTTGGACCGTTACGCAGTAATGCCTGATCCTATGTTGATATTGATTGATTGTTTTTATATATTTCGTACTCATGCTTCAACGTGAAATATACGCTTAGGAGTATGTTCTTGTTTCGTGATTTGTATACTTCATCAGATTATTAGGTCAATATCAGTATTATGAACTACCCATTTCTTGATTGATTGGTAATAAGGAAATACTACACAAGTACTTTTACTGTCGTTGATGAAAAATAGTTTTATTGAACTAACCATTCACTAAGGTGTAACCAAGCTAACCTAAAATCTCAATCTTGTTATGTCTGGAGTACTCGTCTTGTGAGATCTAACTATACCATGATGGTCTACTAAATAGTGATTGGTGAAGGCAGAGCTTAACACCGTTTTGTTTATTGTTGACTTTTCAATTTTATACATCGGTTATGTGCGTTTGTGAACAATTATATGGAGTCTTCAGATTAGTGTTAATGTGGTATTCCATTAAAGTGACTATCCAATGAATACTGATTCGTTTGACTTATTCACAGCTACGAATTCAATATAAGTGCAAAGTGAAGGAATCGTAGTTATATTTCTCAAGTCGAATGTGTGAGTTTACACACTCTTCGTAAGAAGTACACCTTTAAAATGAATAGAGGTCGAGCAGTTCGACCCTGTGTAGCAACGGGAAATTACAGTTTTCAATAAACAATAACTAATACCCGTTTCAAAGTGGTGGCTGTCGTGCCATAGTGGCCTAGTGGATAAAAATCTTCGCATTTAAAACGGTGGGCACTTGGCTCGAGTCTTATTGGGGTGCAGGTACATGCAGCTGACGAGTCTCAAATAGGACAAAACATGCGTTGTTGATTGCACTGCTAGCCTCCAAATAGACTACACCTTTAAAATACTTTAACGTCAGGCTGGATGTTCGTAATCCTATCCACCTACTATAAGAAACCGGGTGGATATTCTCATAATAATCTCTCTAACACGCACACACACAAACGCTGAGTATGGTTCATAGCATAGTGGATCAAATTGTTGAGTTTTACTGGTACTGAGACTTTTTAGCTAAATTTCCCCCAGTTGAGTAAGAAACCCGTTTTGATATACTAAATTTTTATTTAATGTTGACTATCTTTACTGTTCATAATGTGTATTTACTTAGTATTCTCTTTTTATCTAAAATAAATCCTACTTAACAAGTACCTCACTTCTTTCAAACTTTGTAATTTTTTTAGATGTATACGGAAGGAATTAATTATGTTGAGTAGTTGAAAGACGATTGGTAGAAAGCGCTGGATGTAGGTTACGTTTGGATAGCCTCCAACCAACCTATATAGACCCAAGAGGACCGCAATACTGAGTTTCCTGGCTTGGTGATTATAGTTCTAAATGATTCATAGAATTCAGTTAGCATTTAGGACTAAGCAGAATGAAATTGATTACTGTCCAGTGTATTCTAAGTGCAGCTGATGCACAAATATTTGTCATAACGTTAACTGGTTGCAAAGTTTCCAACTTTGATAGACGGCTCATTGTAAATAAATGATCGGCAATGCAAATTCTGGTTCCACCCAGCTGTTTTAAACCTTTCTTTTTTCTTACCTCATTCTGTTATTTTAGCGTTCTCGTCAAACTAAAGGTTTAATACAACTGGAGGGTATTAATATCCGACTAATAAATGATAAAACTAAAGAGTACTGTTTCGAATTGTATTCCCCTCGGAATCAGCTAATTAAAGCGTGTAAAGTTGAAAGGGAATTGGTTGCAGCTCCAGGTTAGTAGTATGTACATATATCTTGTGAAATTTTTTTATTCGCGTTTATAATTTATTAGACCGCCTGTTAAATTAGGCGAATGTAATGAGCAGTGCGTGTGTGGTCAGTAAAAGCGGTTAGTCGTTTATATGGCACTTCTCGGTTTGTCTCAGGCCATTTTCCACTGGCACTCATGTTTTACATTTGACTGGATTGGATTGTTGCCCACTTCTTTAGGGAATTAACTTTCAACCAGTGGGTTGGGGATTCAAACGCCTCTCTACCTATCCATGTTAGGCCAGCCAGGTAATATCATTAGCCATCACACAGTAGGTCTGGCTCATTGCCTACTGCATGAGTGTGTACAAGGTTGCCTAATGGATTTCCGCTTTCCCATTTCCATTTATCTCCTCAACTTGTTTGTGATTCTGCACTGATAAAGGTGTAAAAGTATAAGCATGAATTCTTAGGTCCAAGTGTTTCTGACTCAACCTTGTAGAATACAAATGCACTCTCTTAAAAAAGAAGATTCGTGCGCACTCACACAGTGGCTCATTGACTTAAACCTTTGACATTTAATCTGGGATCCGGGCTCAAATCCAGCTCCAACCATTTCATCCTTGGCAAATGAGTAGTATAGTAAACCCTGGTTAAATAACTATGGCTCATGTCTTATAACATAATTGACTATGCCGGGTTGAGTTTCATTATATGTATATAGCTTAAAAGACCTGAAATTTCAAAAAAAAACCGTTTAGTGAATTTCCTCAATATGCTTTCAATAAGGCAAATAAAGGTTATCTGTCATTTTTGGCGTTAGTAACCATCCATTTCTTCCTAATTTCGATCAATTGGTAGGAATTCGTAACCTGTAAATAGAAATAAATCCATATTGGTATTCCTTCTATGTACCAAACTTTACAGAACAAACCCTGTGACCAAGGTGGCTCAACAAAGCCATTGTAATATGCAGCAAGTCCAACCAGTTGATGATAAACAAGTAGATTCAGTATGCGGATGTATAAATATTGCCGGTAAGATAAGTTTCGTACTAACTAGTTATCGTTTAAGATACAAACTCGTTATAAGATGGGTATCAAAAGATGCGCCATACAAAATAATAAGGCAATGATACGAAGTCAAAGGATGAAAGAAAGAAACGAGACAATACAACAATGGGTTATTCAAGAAAGAAGTAATCTCAAGGATGGATGCAAAGAAGCACTCACTTTCATCTTTCTTTTCAGCAATAGGAGAAACAAGGAAGCTATCAAACCAAAATCACTGGTCTCGATTCTGCGCCCTGCCTGCTAATGTCTCACGTCACTGAACTACATGATCTCTCAGACTCCATCTAGGAAGTCTGGAGGGCACCTATAGATGAAAGCCTCAAACAACTATCCTGCATCCCACAGCGCCACGTAGTACATTGAACGCCTCTCCGCTTCTTGCGGTCAACTAATCCAATGTCGAGTAGACAGTGAGCGTTGTGGAAGCCGCTGGGATGAAATAAGTAACACATACCCAATCCACCGAAGTCAGTGTTTTAAGGGGACCTCACTCAATTAATGACGATCTCCATCAAACCCAGACAGACGCATCTCTTCAGAATTGCTTACACGTTGTTCCCACCGAGTGAGAACAATCAAACGGCGACAAAAATGGATCGTTGGGTATCCTCAACTCGGAAAGGCCAGGCCTCAGAAACGTGAAACAACTATCTACACCGACACGTTGTAAACCCAACCGTTTACCGCAATATTAACATCATGATGACACCAAAGATGGTCTGGACTTGTGTGTACTACTCTGACTTTCTTTTTGCGATTGGAGATCTCATTGGTCACATCACCAGCACTCACACAGCTGACTAGGTACACAAACGTTTTGACAACTCACAGTGGTTCACCACCAAGGGTGAGTGAAGGTACAGACTCATGTCAGTCTTGTGGAAGCACTTTGTTCTTCGATGGTGCAAGACACATACCATACCCACCGACGCTTATCGCTGATTGACTGACTATGACCTAAGTAACCTGTATGTTGTCAAACAGTAAAACGATATCGTCTGTATTCTCGAGACCGGAAAATCTTTCACTTGGTGACAGGTCTGCACCACCACTGCCACTATGCCCCTCCTTCAGGGCTTTCTTGAGAATGTCATTGGTGGCAAAGTTAGATAGAAATGACGAAATCAAACAGTTGTGCTCAACCCCACTATTGGTTTCGAACGATGTAGAGAAGTGGGTGTACGCCTTCAGTCAACCTGAATTGTTAAGGTGTATGGTTTTTAGTATGTCAACGAACGTCTCACAAGCACCCTGTTTAACAGAGACTTCTAGAATACAGCTGTGTTCAATAAATCGAAGGTAGACTTTATATCGAGAAATGCAACGACCGGTGGTCTCTAATACGTATGACGGTGTTTTAGCATCTGATTGAGAGTAAACACGTGATTAGTGCATCCATAACCTGCACGAAACCTGTCCTGCTCCTCGCTGATCGGTTTCTCACGCGTTTTAAAGAGCCTACCAAGTATGATAGCAGTCAATACTGTGAACGCTACCATATATTGCACAAACCGTCTTCCTGGCACCAGGCTTCTTAATTCAGTGGCTGGGATGAGCTACATAAGGAACTATCGCACACCACTGTACTTACGGCCTACTGAAATACACTGGTTAGCGTCAAGAAGTTGCAAGAATCTCGAAGAGACATAGTGTTCATTGCTCGGACGTTATTCAAAGCCATACATCCCTTACTCGCCATTTCCATGGCATCTTGTAAGTATAGCCAGTGCTCATCCATACTCTGTAGGTTTGTTAACTACCTTTGAACTGAACTCGGTTCATTATCTAGTGGCACTACCAGATGCAGTAAGTTAGCTTCAGTTAACCCGTTTAAGACAACTATTTTCATGATCATAAAAGCGCGAAGCGAACTTGGTGTACATAAAGCGTCGTCATAGTACAGACAGACGTTTAGAAGGATCGGGAGTCCTGAATGCACGCACACTATCAGTGGTTGGTTTTAATATGATCTTGTTCAGCCTGTGCTTGAGTGGCAGAGGGGAAGACACTAGGCAGCACAACGGTAAGCTGGATTTTCGTTATTGTAAAATAATGTGTTAATGGACTACTTAGTGCTTTCATCTTCTGAGGTAGTCAAGTGTCATTTGGTGTATTCTCTCTCGAAAACGTGCGTATCTAGTAATTGCTTTCTTGCTGCGCATATTATATGAATGAATTTTGGCGATGTAACTTAGCTATTTGAAGTTTTTAAAAAAGCAAGTATTCTGCACCAAGCAGCCAGAGTTACAGGGATCCTCTCTTCTAATGTAAGCATTCAGTTCGTTTATTCACGTCTGAAAGCGTTTATCTTGCGCCTTTTACTTTTCAAGTGTAAATCAGTGTTTCAGGGCCGATTTTTAATGATACTCTTCAACTACACTACTTATGTTGTTTGATTGATTGGTGTTGCAAACGTCTTTGTATTCGTGATGGTGCATGTAAATTTCTCTTTTCTTTCCGTTTTATTTGTAGGTCATCATACAGTGTATCGAATGGCTGCACCCACACTTGCTGAAAGAGATGAATGGATCCGTATGCTAGAACGTGTTACACGTCGTCTAGCTGAACGACGTGGTACACGCAGTATCAGTGTAGACTGTACTGGTCCTGGTTCTGCATCAATGACTGTGGGACCAAGTCATCATTTACCGCCACCTGTATCCTCTTTATCATTGAGACGCAATGGAGCAGGCAGTCAACCTGATTTACCTAGTCAGCAGTCTGTGTTAAACTAGTCTTAAAATCAACCCGTTATCAAATATTACTGTGTATATCAATGTTAAGAATTCTGACTTCGATCTTTTGGTATTCTCATTTCATTTTCCTCATCTGTTTATGACTATAAATTGCCGTGTTCCTGCGTATAATGCAGTTGTACAGTGCTAGAAAACATTTAGTTGCTAATACACGTATAAGCACCATTGCTTTTCTTAAGTCATCAATGTACATTTTGTTCTCCTTCTTCTGTTTAGTTTTTTTCCTCACATTCCTGTTATTTTTGCGACCTTTTTTACCTGGTGACTTGACGTTTTTGGTCATCAATAATCTCATGGTTGTTATTTTTTCATTTCTCGGTTTCCAGTGTGGTTTTTCTCAAGTTTTGTTTGTTTGACTTTATTGCATTTGATCTGTTGGTTTACTTCTCCGTATTCCTTTAATATGCTTCCTGATGAATATATGAGAAGAAATTGGAAATGGTAGGCAGAAAAGTGGGAAAGCTAATTGACTTATTGTTGTATTCTTGTTGTAAAAATACTTCATCTGTTTGCTTATTTATTAATGGTAATTTAACACAATAGAGACAAATTAAAGGAGTCCGACGGTATCTTCAACTTAACTATTTTTGTATGATACGTTTCAAATGAGGTGTTGTGCATAGTGTTTGTTTGTCTTCACTGTGCGTGATCGTCTTATCTCCTGTACGTTGAATCTCTTGGTTGTTGTGATGACGTCTCTCAACGCCTACAATATCACGTGTTATATTTCAATTAAGCAATGGATTCCCTGATTTGTACCCAGGATGTCTCATCTTTTACATTAATTTATTGTTCTAATGGTTGTAATCATTATTCTAAGCTTAGTTTTCATGCTATGTTTGTTTGCTTTCCCGGCTATTTTACTTATGGACAAGGTTTTGTCGTTTGTGGTGATGGTGGTCGTCTGCTCTTTACTTTCTGATACTTCTAACTTTTTCTCCTTGAAGAAATACTCTTGACCAATTATAGGTTATTTGTGGTGTTCTCACTTTGTGCTGGATTCATTCTTCAGTGCCTCAGGTATCATTTGTAATTTTTTTAAACGCAGTTTTTTTCTTGTACACTCACATACTCATCCACATAGATGTAAATATATAATATAAGTAAATAAATGTAGAGGTTTAAAGATAAAAATATTTGTGTGACTTTTACTTTTCCCATCCTTTTTTCGTTTGTCTGTGTTGTGGTTTTGCGTCTCCATTCCTCATTTTTGTTACGTAGCAAAGTTGGATAGACACACCTACGCACACGGCATTGTTTGATTACGCTGCGGTTCACGTTACCATCCTTAGCATCAGCACGTTAAGCTGAAGTTAACAAGATAAAAAACAGAACAACAAGAAAAGAATTTATCCAGCGCATTTTGAAAAACTAGATTTTAATAAGAAGTGATAATCGGAGTCAGCATACACGGTTATATGATTTCAAGACTCAGTTGTAGATGCATATGTACCACTGAAGTCGATTTTGTGCCGTATTTTGTCTAGTCTCTAAATATTGTTTTCAGCATACACGTTTGAAACCAATAGCGTCAAACTTCACATATTTGTGGCACATCTTTGTTTTATTAGCTAGTCTAACCTTCTGTGTTTGCTTAACTCTCTGATTTGTCGTTTTCTGGAAGTAAACATTAAAGCTACATTCTGATTTGATGAAATGGTGTAGGTAAGTGATTGATATTTTAGTTTACGTCCTCTAATCTGGAAAATTTAATCACAAGTTCTGATTGCTGTGTTGCCCAGCAGATTGAAAAAAGAAGTCGGTGTTCAAATGTTAAATATGGTCAATTCTTAATATAAGTGTAAAACTTGGGCACTGTGGTAGAATGTGATTCCATATTAGATTTGTTTATTTGATATATAGCGCACAGTGATACAGTATTATTTACTTGATTACATTTCGAGCATAAATTATTGCTCATATTCATATCAATGTAATCACACTTCTTTCGATATCTGATTTTATAGTCCTGTCACCTGGTTTTTCTTTGCTTTTTTGTTTTTTGATTGGTAGTAAAGTTTTCCATATCTCTGGTATAGGTGTTGCATCATTCCTATTACATGTGTTGGGTGTGGATTCGATGAACAAAGATTCAGTAATTAATCTCTCTCTCTCCACCTAGCTATATTAGACTTAAGTACAGTGGTTTTGTTAAGAATCCTACGTATGGTTTCTGATGTTCCTTCTTTGTATGGTATCACAATGGAGGTGTTGATTTCCTTTCTACTTATGTTGTCACTATTATTTGTATTTGTATTAATGTTATTATTTTGCTTCGTATGTGTTTGTGTGAATTTCTTAATGAAATGATGGGGATAATTATTAATTATTAACGCTTCTTTTATGTGTTTCAATTCCTTATTTAAGTCCTTACAATGACTAGTGAGTTTCTTAGCTCTGTTATTTAGACATCTGACTAAACCCGCTTTAACTGACACTGGATGAGATGACTTGAAGTCTAGATACCTGTTAGAATGTGTTGGTTTTCTGTAGACGGTAGTATCTAAACCACCATCTGTCCTTCATTTTATTCTGAAATCCAACATAGGTAATTCTCCTTGTTCATTTTCTACTTTGTAAGTGAATTGAATTGCGTTAACTACTGAGTTTGTGTGTGTCAAGAAACTGCCGATATGTTCCGATTTCAACACTGTAAATGTATCATCCACATATCGCCAATATATCTTAGGTGTCGGATTATATGTTCTTAAAGCCATATCTTCCCAACCATCCATAAATATATCTGCTACTATAGGGGATATTGGTGATCCCATTGCTACTCCTGTTTGTCTATATATCTTTCCCTGAAACTTGAATACTGTCGAGGTCAAGCATAACTGCACTCTTAACATGATTTCATCAACCAATGCCTTAGTTCTTTGAACAAGTTGTGAGTCAGTATCTAGTTGATTTCTGACTGCCTCCAGTGCCATATTGATTGGTATTCTAGTATAAAAACTTGTTACGTCAAAACTAACCTTTTTTCATTCTCTTCTATGTACAGGTCATTAAGTTTTTGTTTTAACTAGTAAGAACTTACTAGTTTAGAGTTTGAACGATCTCTAATAGGACGAACTACTGATGCTAAATACTTTGATATCTCATATGTCGGTGTGTTCCGGAAGTCAACTATCGGCCTAATGGGATAACCTGCTTTATGAACCTTAATAGTACCGTAAATTCTGCTAGGATTATTAGTTTTCGGCATTAAAGTAAACCATTCGGACTTACCTAGAGATGGCTTCATTAACACACAACCACACAATAGGGTGGGACAAAACCACTGTACTTAAGTCTAATATAGCTAGGTGGAGAGAGAGAGATTAATTACTGAATCTTTGTTCATCGAATCCACACCCAACACATGTAATAGGAATGATGCAACACCTATACCAGAGATATGGAAAACTTTACTACCAATCAAAAAACAAAAAAGCAAAGAAAAACCAGGTGACAGGACTATAAAATCAGATATCGAAAGAAGTGTGATTACATTGATATGAATATGAGCAATAATTTATGCTCGAAATGTAATCAAGTAAATAATACTGTATCACTGTGCGCTATATATCAAATAAACAAATCTAATATGGAAAGGTCAATTCTTGTTTGATACTTGTTATTTCCCGTTGCTATACAGGGTCGAATTGCTCGGCCTCTGTTGGCAGATGAGCTTGTATACAGATACCTCAGTGCTGCCGGATATTCATGATGGTGTATTCATCTTGGTGACTAGCAGTTGAATCCTGGATGCGCATATCCTCCTAGCAGCCGGAAATTACAATTATCAATAAACAGTAACTAATACCCGTTTCACAAGTGGTAGCTATCGTGCCCCAGTCGCCTAGTGGATAAAACGTTGACATTTAAAGCTGTGGCTACTTGGCTCGAGTCTCAGTGGAAAGAACATCACTCATCCAGCTGCGCAGTCCTAAACGGGATGAAGGATGCGCACTTGATTCCACTACTAGTTTCCAAGATGAATACGGCATGTGATCAATTCTGTCTATCAAGACAGTCAATAGACAAACTTATTTTGTCAATGATAGTAAAAAGTATCGTAGACTACTATCCACCTTTATATACATTGAAAAAATTAATTTCGTGATCACTATCTTCTTTCAGAGATTTGCATTACAGGTGTGTGTGTGGGCTGGGGGGACGCAACACTACTGTGAGTTGCCCTAACTTCCAACAATGAAGGGATTTTACTACCTTTATTCTGTTATACTTGTTGTTTTGTATTTCGACTATTCCGTCGCAGTTCAGGTATGGGACTGGCTGTTTACATTTATAATCCCTACATCTGGATAGTTACACATTTCATTGATAAACATAAGAAAAGCTCCCATATTAGATTTGTTTATTTGATATATAGCGCACAGTGATACATTATTATTTACTTGATTACATTTCGAGCATAAATTATTGCTCATAATCATATCAGTGTGAAAAGCTTGGCTACCGTGATCTCTCATAATACTGATAGGTCTCTTATCCTTGTGAGTTTGTTTCAACAAATAGGAATCATGGATTCTGCTTGCTGAAGGTACTGTTTTAGAGACACAGTCAGTTTATCGTTTTCAGCGTATACTTGTTTGTCGTTCACTCATTATACAAGTGAAGTTGTCATAAATGTGTCTTGAACTGAGGTGATATTCCTGTTTCTTTTCAACAATCGGCATTTTGTAAAATGTACTTTATGGGGTGTATTTCCGTTCATAATTCAAACTACTACTCAATAAATAGAGCTAACTAAAGAATAACAATTTAATATGGGTTTTTTCTAGCTTCTCTCTGGGTAAAATAAGTATAAGTTCTTTGTGAAAGTCAAATTAATTTCACGAACCTCAGGGCAATGACGGTTTATGCAATTGCTGATCAAGTGCTTAGCTAGTCAGTCACATCTCTACGACTACTTCAATGAACTTTTAAGATAACTGGAGTCACGATTAAACTAGTAACTGAAACTGGTTACAACTCCTATTAATTAGATGCGTCCATCGAAGGCGTCTTATCACGGATGTAATCTGTGTTTTTAAGTTGATTTTTACTCCTATGAAGGTATCTTGTCATAATCTTGTAAGTTAGTTTACTTTTATACTTGTAAAATTGGCACTTGAGAGTAGTTGCCTTGACTTTCATATATAGTTTTATAAAGTTATACACTTCATTACAATTATTTTTTGAAATGGTAAAGACGAAGAGAAGATACAGCCTGAACTAGACCTTGGAAACTAAATAATTCTATCGATGAAATACAATGTTTCAATGATTAGATACGAATGCTGAAATGGTAGCATTTTGCTTTGTGACATGTTTCTTTGCTATTTACAAAAGTGGTGGGACGACTTATGGAAATCATCCTTGTATCATACGATCACACAAGTATTTTGAAATGTTATTATTACTGCTGCTTCGTACAATTAAATTACGTATGTGACGTAGCTTCAGGTGGATACAGACGAGATTGTAATGGGTGCAATCGTTGTCTTTGTGAAACTGGAAGTGATTTTGCGATCCTTGTTCGAATTATCATGGGTGCCATTTGACCAGTTTTACACCTATCCCGATTGATAATTACTTATACATGAAGCTGTTATGGCGAAATACAACTGCTGTGGCCCACCGACCTTGACACTTAACCTTCAATCAAGGGATCACAAGTTCGAACACTCCTCTTTCTACTGAGGTCTGGGCAATCAGGCTGTATCGTTGTCCCTAATATAATAAGTGTGACTCATTCCGTACTGCACAAACGTACATATGATCACCGACTGTATTTCAGTATTTTAATGCATTATCTTATGAAAGAGATTTATTCTATCACTACCAATAAGGTGTTGTTTTTATCACATTTCAGTCAACTGGTCCTATCCTAATGTCACGCTATTGTAATATGCCTTTGAGCATACACTCAGTGCTTTGTATACATGAGGAGACATGCTGCACGTAGTGTGACAGAGTAAGGTGAGAAACAGAAACAAAGTAAGATACTGTTAGTCAGATAACTAAGAGAAGTCGCATAAAGACATTTAAAGAAGCCTCAGTTCCTTTTGTAGTTATTAAGTAAGATATTAGCACAATAACTAATGCCTTTTACTCTGACTTGACATTTTGAGTAATTAGCTTGCAAAATCTTAAGAACTATTTAAGGATATGTATCACACTAGGTAGTTATTACTAGCTTTCCTCCACTTAATTCGCCAAGTCAGCTGTCTTCCAGAGATCTGAATTTTGCTGGGATCAAAAGTTGTTGGGATGTTAGTTGTCATTACAATCAGGTAACTGCTTCCCAGTAGTCATCTTTTCTGTGCCTCAAAATCTAAGTATGGTGTACATGGTGTCTTCCCTGAATGCGCACAGTACTATTAAACTTGTGACTAAAGATTATCTGTTGAACATTTTGAACCACGAGTTACTGACCTTCAAGAATAGCAGGAAGGTATGAAGCTAGACATAGAACACTCAGTAGAATTAGTTCATCTACACTCTGAATGGAACAAAACTTGTTATTCACACATCAGCATTAGTTGCGTGTTTCGTTCATATCAACTACTATTTTAAAATTCAAACTTATCCGTTAGGGACTTCTATTTACACAACATGAATAGTTTTTGAAGAGAAGTACGATAGTTATTTTAGTCCGGGTTAATAAACTATTAGGTTTGCTGCAAGCTCCTAGACTTCTAAGCAGGATATCACGTCGTTTAAACCTCCACCCTGTCAGGTAGTTCCCGAAATAGAATGGATATTCTTTTGCACACCCAAACTGTCGATAGCTAATCGCTGTGCAACTCACGTTTTAGGATGTCTGGAACAACTGTGTTGCATGTCGGTTTCAAATAAATGTAGTTAGTAATCAGTATTCACTTATGACCAATGATTTCAGTAATTTAGTTTGAAGTGCAGTTTTGTCTATTTATCAGTGCTCAGATAACAGTTTCACTTTCAGTAGATGAGCCTATTGGAGAAAATTCTCAATTTATTGTAAGTAACAATATAAATTAATTTACCAACTATATGTGTTGTACCAGGCTGTAAGCTACGAATCAAATGTTTGGGGGTCAGTATTACCATCTGATCGCTGAAATGTTGTAGGTGAGACAAAGTTTTAACCAGAAACCTATTAATTGGTCAATCAAACCAATAAACCGCTGCATTGTGATACCTAACCTTGTCCCCTCTCCATCTTTTAATGCATCAATGTAGTCAACAAGAATTCTTTAACTTACGGTTTGAATTATACCCTATCGAGTGTGTGTAGAGGAAGAAGGGAAACTGTTCGCTTTTGGACAATCAGGACGTTTGAAAAATCTGTCGTCTTGACTTGATGTACCATAAGTTTACTATCTACAGTGTGCTTGTTTAATGGTTCAAAGAAACGATATTGGTCATTCATTCTCTTCCTTCTGTAAGCTTTTAGCTGGTGGATTGCTTGTGAAACTGAATTTTTTCAGAAGGTTGTGTCTTTCATACCATTCTCGTCTGCATTAGGCCCTTATTGAACCTCTGACAAAATATGCAGCAGAATAAATTCACTATTTTCAAATCATTAGCACTAGTCTGTAATTTTTGCTGATCGGTAATCAAACTTTAAGAGATATGTCTTATTAGGTGATTTTATCTTGTGTATTTGAGCTTGATGCTGGATCAATTCAGCATTATTAAGTACATTACGTCAGCAAGCCTCCTGCCATATTCGACGTCCGAAAGAAATGTGTTTTAAGCAGATGCTATCCTGCATATATGAAAACCGTTACCATGACAATTATTGAATCACTATCTTTTCCTAGCTTTAATTTTTGTAGCAATTTTACTCTTTAAATGCCTTGGTGGTGAGTTTCAGTGTTATTGACTACTTGAACTGACGTAGTATTACGTTGCCCAAAATGTAATATCACCAATGAAGTCTAGTTCACTTTTTCACTTCGCAAGAACCTTCCTACTGATTGGGAAGAAAACCTTCATTCAATGTTAGGATTGGTCTGATATTAGTCTAGACACCCAACCATCACACTGGCTTCATCAGCTCCTAGAGAAACAGTATGTTTACGCCGCGGTTATAAGAAGTACAGCTGTTTTATGCTGGTTAAGCGTTTTTACACGGCTCAGTGACATTTGAATCTTTCTCATCTTAAGCTGATGGGCAGGCTGTTTTGCGCTAGTTAGGTCTAGGCATCAAAATATCATGCTCAATCATCGATTCGGAATAAATTTTGAAGTCTTGTATACATGTGTTATTTCTGAGTTAGTTTTATGTCGACCCATACCTTTTCATGTGTATTGATTAACCTCAGTAAATTTTACCCAGTACATAATGATTGTTTGAACAATGCTGTTATGGCTAATTTTTTTGTGAATAAATATCATTTATTCCATTTATTTGTTTTCATTGTAGGCTTCTAATGCTATTAGTTCTTTGAAAACCCGTCCACATGTCTTATCACTTTATCGTCGAGTATTTCGAATAGCTCGAACATGGAAAGCACAGTCTGGATTTAAGGAAGATTCTATACGTGAAGCTGCTCATATGAAAGAAGAGGCAAGAACTCTATTTCGACAAAATGCACATCTTACTGATGTAAAAGAGATTGAAGTACGTTATGAATCTTACTCTTTTCTGTTTTATTTATCTAAATTTAATGCAAATCCTACAGTCTGTTTCACAGATGGAATCCTCTATAGATTTCAAATTAGATATAGCATACTGTGATACAGTATTATGTACTGAATAACTTTTCGAGCATAATTTATTGCTCACAATCCTATCACAACTTCCTGACCTGTTTATTATAGTTCTGCTTCTTGTTACTGTTTGATTTTAATGGCAGTAAGATTTTTTTTATATATCCCAGATTCCTGCTGAATCATTCTTATTGCTTTTGTTAAGTTCAGTGAACAACCTTTCTTTTAACTTAATTTTATTAGCTGTTAGGACTAATTTTTATCCACGCTCTTTATGGTTAGTGTATGAATAGTAACGACTAATTTTTTTAAAGATTACTTATCCCAGTAGTGTCTCAGTCAACAAGCCAGTCACTATTAACATTGGACATGGTATTCATGCATAACGGCCCAATTTGCCATATCTCAAATTAGTACATCAAACGGGAAGGTACAGAAATTAGGAAGAAGGTCAAAAGTTGTAAAAAGAAAACAAGGAGGAATGAGACAAGAATTGAATTCGTTATAATGAATAATATGAAGACAGTGTGTGAATACATCTGTGTGACTGACATCCGTTGTAATCCATATCATCCAGAGTCTTAGGACACCGGCTTCAGTTATCACGTGGACTCCAACTAAAAGTCTACATTTACCCACACGGTTCAAACCAACGATCAAATGCTACATGAAGCGATACCATCATTTAGACTAACCACCTGTTACTTTTTTCAGGACTTAGTCAACTTCATCTAACATTGTGCGATGGAACGGACGCTGACTTGGCTTACATAATACGTCCTAACCACTTCAGTCGATAATGGTTCACTGACTTCTACGTTATTTGTCATGGTGCAGCAAGAAATGATCTATGTTACGAAGGCAACAGTGGTCGAGGAAGTTAAACCTTCTCATATCCTCTATCTTTAATTACCGTGTTTCACACCCGTTTCGTAGAACAGAATTGCAACGCAGTACGCTCGGCCCTTTATAGGTAGTCAAATATCTTGGCGGCGCCACAGATAGCGTCAGTTAGCAAAGATTAAACGAGCCTTTTGTATCCGTGAAAAGGTCTCACCGGCCTCTAAGCCACCAGGACTAATCTGACTTTCCAAGTAAGTAAAAGGATCAACATGCTCAACCACTTCACTGCTCACTGTTAGATGAAGCACTTGCTTAAACCAGTCCTAGAGCAACAATTTACATTTAGATAGTGAGAAACGTATCCCAAACATTCTCAAATTGCCGCTCAAGGTATCCAGAAGATTCTGCACCTTTTCAGCATCTTCATCTAACAGAGCTATTTCATATGTGTAGTCTATATCTACTGGGGACCCTTCTGTGACCAGTTCAATTCATGTATAGTCAGATGAGAGAGGCCTTCATAAACACGTGCAGGAAAATCTTGAATGGGTGTAGAGAGGGTGGACACCTTTTACGTACACCACGCCACTTAGTATCAATAATCTTAATGCAACAGATGTGGCCCATTATCTGGTGCACGAATGTCCACAAGGTAGCTGAGTACGTTACAGTATTATGACTGACATGTCTCCTTCATATCCTTTTTAAGTTATATGTGTTTTATAAACTAGATTTCCTGGTAATTTAGCAAGCAAATAACGGTGAATAACATCAGAATAGATAAATTTCTTCATTCATGCTGTGATTAAAAACAGTGGTTGTAATAACAAAAAACTTCTCACTGGTTGTCATGCTGGTTAAATAAACAAAGGGTTTAAGTTAACCAATCACTGAAATAGGTCGACTAAATTTTGATTCACTGTAGGATCACTTTCTTTGGTTTAATCGCCATGATTACATGTATGTGTTTCGCTTGGCCAATGCTTATCGATGCTTATCTTTCCCTAAGATTCGATTTATTTGATAAGATAGTGAAGCTGTAGCTCATTGGCTTAGAGAGATGACTTTCAACGAATGGGTCACGGGTTGGAGGCCCACCCATCTACCGAGGATCGGTAAGCTAGGTAGTATAATCAACGCTCAAAAAATAGGTGTCGCTCACTGCCTACTGCACGAATGTGCACACGGTTGTTGAGTGTATTTCGATTGCTGTCAATGTGACCATATAACTTTACTCTCCGTAATGTAGTAAACTCTTTTTGATGAAATTCAACCTCTCTTAGTAATGCAAAGTAGCATATATTTAGAATTCCTAAGTTAACTACTAAAATCCTCTATGAAATTCAGCATAGAGTATTTGTTTGGCTGTTGAGCGTAGTCTTCAAGCCATCATTCGAATGATCTGTTTTTCTTCAACTTTAACTTAATATGTGAATATCTGACTGATTCGTGAATATAGGTTTCTACAATTACGATTTCCAAGAAAATGGATGTTATTATGAAATCATGAAGTTACAGTGTATTCGGTATATCAGTTACAAAGCGTAAAGTTTAACAAGACCATTGATCATATCCTATCTCGTTAGTATCTAAATAAAAAGGAACCTGATTTTCTGTGTATTTAGGTAAGTTTGTTGTGTAAAATTGGAGTTAAGAAACTGTAATAAGTTCAAAATCAGACAAACTCAGGTTTTTTCAGCGTTCTTTCTGTTGTAATTAGATTGGGAAATGGACTACTGACCTTTCCAAAATTGTTTTGAAAACTACTCAGAATGCGGCTTAGCAATCACCTGGTTATTCACACAATAGGCAGTGAATCACACTTGTTATGTAAGGGTCAGTGATGATGCTTGGCTACGCAAACCTTGGTAGATGAGGCAATGTCCTAACCTGTGACCGCGTAGTTGAAAATTGGGTCCTTAAGTCGATAATCCACAAATCCATGTAACTGCGTTGTGAATAACCATTCAAAAATTATTTCATGATAGTCAGATGTTATTATGTGACACTACTAAGTGGTGATAATGGAAAGGCGTTTCGCCTTATCTGGGTTTCATCACTTTGGAAATTATGGTGAATATTTCTAGTTCATGACGTCTATATTCGGTGTAAATTGCTCTCAGTGCTGGATTTTCAGTTGAAGAACGTTTTATTATTTTTTTGCTAGATATCGTCATTAGTTCACTGGAAGTATCAAGTTGTGCTAACTACTCTATCTCATTATTAGATTTCAAGTGAATTCAGTTTGAAAATAGATAATATGGCTTTAACCTTTTTAAAAAAAATATTATGGTACATAAGACTGTACACTTGAACAGTGCATTTTATGAAGATTAGATTATAGATTTTTGCATTCTGAATTTTTGCCTAGTTAGTCTTCTTTATCAACAAATGGTTTTACAAATTTTCTATCAAATGGAAATTCCTATTTTAAAATGTGAGCTAAGCCGATTATCGAAAGTATAAGGTTACTTAAGACGAAATCAATAGAGTAAACTATGAAACTACTGTTCAATTATTGTATCAATTGAATGTTTATTCATTCTATCATATCTCTTGAGGTGACCAATAAACAGAAACCATAATTTGTTACTATTCAAATAAACTCCATAATAATCTATAAACATAAGTGTATGGCTATCTTTTTACTAAAAATTTATTTTCGTGGGATACTAAAACACCAATCATAGTGTAGCAATACCATGTAACTTAATGTATGTCAACTTGGTTAGTTGGAAGATTTGTGTAGCGAAAAATTTGTGGATCACCTTCTGAGCTTTGATTGACTTGTTTTTCTTTAACATTGGTTGATAAGGTGGTCCGATAACAATGGTTAAAAATCAAATGTCTATAGTATTACGAAATCATATCTATTCTGCTTTCTATTGACTACTGAGTTAGTAGAATAAGGTTCTGAGTATTAAATCTTTGCTGTTCATCTCACACAGACTTCGTCTTCCTTATATGAACCAGGTTATTGTAGAATTTAAAATAGTTTTCATCTTATCTAGGGTATTGTTAGGCCAATTAGGTACTGAGAATTTGTTTCGTCCAGGTGCACATTAGTGTGTACTCATTACGTCACGTAAAATAAAGTACACAATATTCAGTTCTCACTATGTACACGCTACTGTCTTAATGGTCTATATTCTCAAATTTAAGTTTTTTCGAATTCGATTGATTCTACGGATATCAGAATCGTAATGGAGCTTTACGAAGCCTATCTCTCAATAGTGATCGCTAAGTTCATATTCATTTATCACTGCATTTATGCCTCCCACGTCATAAAATTCAAAGTCGTTCAAAGAATTCATTTGGCGGTTTTTAGGGATTTATTGGTTTCAAAGTATTTTTCATAACGGATCGATATCACTTAACCTCTCAAAACCTGGGAGTACTAGAGAATCGCTTTCCACTAGTTCGAGACTCTTCAGCAGTGTACACCCATGATCCTGCTAGAAATCAAACCTAGTAACACTACGTCTTTCAATCAGTACGTTGTAGAGCTATACCTCATTGATCTGAGTACTTTACTTTCAACTGGTGGGTCACAGATTTGAACCCTCCCTCCTCTGTCAACGTTTTGGGAAACACCCTAGTATGATAGCGACGGATAGTGAAGTGGGGAGATGTGTTAACTACTTCACTTACTTTGGGAGTAACATCAACCCCAATGCGTTGGTTACTGACGAAATCTCAGCTCGGATACAAAAAGTCCGTTTTGCATCTGCCAACTTGCGTTATCTGGGGCGCCGACTGGCGAGATATCCGACTATCTATCAAAGAACGAGTATACTGCTCTGCAGTTTGTTCTGTCCTGTCGTATGGCTGAGACGTAACCATTATAAGTAAAGGAAATGAAGCGGTTATAGGGTTTTGATCACAGACATCTTGATAACATTACTCGCGTTTCGTGAAATCACAATTATTATGAATACCTATCTTGGAAGGACTTTATAGCCGATTCCGTTTAATTCATTATAAAAGTATTTGTATTATAGTACACTTTTGAAGTTATAAAAAGTCAGATGAATATAACAGCTGCGAAAAAGAAATATGAAAATACTGAAAATAAATTGATATTTCCAGCAATTCTATGAACTAATTGGTTGTCATCGTGAACTGACATCATTTAGATAACCATTGAAGATCTGAGCACACTGAAAACTATTTCTTCCTAGTTTGAGACTTCGTGGTAGTGTGAATCCAAAACTTACCAAGGGACTGAACACATGACTAGCAGATCTGGCGTTTACCAAAGTAGGAAGTAGTGTGGTATTGAATTTCAATTCACTACCTGAAATACAAAATGAACTAAACCCTTCTGAAAAATATATATCCATGTTCATATGCTAGGCAATCATCATCCACCGCTCTTATGTCTGGGCTTAGGCAGACAGACAGATTCAACGTACAACCTCGTACATAGGTGCATCCCGTCAAGTTGATGTACTTCACAGTAGTATACAAAGAACGAGTAGATAAAATATGAGTGATATCAAAGTAGACAAGGTCATGTGAGAGAATAAACAATTTGAAGATAAGAGTTAGTGCAAATATTCAAGCTTTAGAAGATGTTAAGGAGTGAATGCATCTGCGCCACTGTGACCGATTTTCAACCTTGTTACCAAGAGTTTTCAACCATTGATTCTTTTCGTCTCGAGGATCCCAACTAGACAGTCTACATCTCGCAACACAACTCAAACCAGCAGTCAGGGACTTCATGAACTGGTGCTATACCTCCGTCAGACCATAATGAACCCACCTCCAACGTAATCTAGCTTCCCTAAGCATGGTACGTTGAGGTAGGTGGTGACTCGGTATGCACAGTACATCTTCAAGTCATCTCATCTAACTAAGGTTCACAACCTCAACAACCGACTTGCCCTTCTTGCCTAGTACCCATCACCTGACCTCAATATTGCTCAGACGGTGATTTCACGAAACGCGAGCAATGTTATGAAGATGTCTGTGGTCGAAACCCTATAACCGCTTCATATCTTCTAATTTTAACGACCTTGTCTCAGCCGCAGACCAGGATAGTCTTGTACACTTACAGTCTTGTACGTTGATTCATCATAAAAACTTCTGAAAAAATACGGAACACGCTGCATACTGTTTATTTCATTTTTTTTCTTCCTTCCTAGATATTTTCGTGATGAGAACTATTAGGGTAACTGTTTAATTTGACTCCTACTATGAGTATGGTTACGCATCTGCGTTATTTTTTGAAAAATAGATGATAAAAAGGTGAATGACGAACTCATGAAATGTACCCATTCATTCATGAGCAGAAACAAGACATGTATCAGCGAAGAAATATTTCTTTTCAACCACTTCATTGTCAAGCTGTACAGTCGTATTTATACCCCTTGTAAAATGACATAATTGTACTAAAAACTTGTTCAGTCAATAGGCAAATTATACAATAGGTGTTGGTGGTGGGATTTGTTCAAGTGGAAGAAATGGAATATGGGTCACTGAACAAATTATCATCGTTTTACAATTCTTTGACAGCACTTGTCCCTTATCTCACCATTTGTTATCAATTCATTCTTTATTCAGTGACCCATTTTCTATTTCTTCCACTTGAACAAATCCCACTATCAACACCTGTTGGATATTTCGATAACGCTACTAAAAGACGAAGATTACCTGAAAAATGTGATGGATTTGCGCAATACACTTCGAACAATCTGATCACACATTTACTTGTCAAGTCAATTTATATGTGAAAATGAAAGGTGAAATATAATGAGTATGAAATGTGTTTACCAGTTTACACGTATGTATGGAAACACATACATAGGGAGGAGTAATCGTTCAATACAGACTAGGGTGGGTGAACACAAAGCAGTTTAACACACAAATATTGATAAGTGCAGGTGACAGACATCCATCGTTATCTATTGCAAAACATATCATTGAATTGAATCACAATGTAAATACGAAAACAGCCTTCAAGATATTATACAGGAATAATCAGAGGCGCATATTGAAATTTGCCGAAGCGTTAACCATTCGCAAACTTAAGCTCCCATTGTGCATACAAAAACAATTTGTTGTTTTACTTAATTTATCTTGGTAATCTTTGGTAATCTGATTACATTACCAAGACTAGTATCACAACCTTTTCAGATTCAGTATATTTGACCTTTAATTTTCATATATAAATTGACTTAACAAGTAAATGTGTAGTCAGATTGTTCGAAATGTATTGCACAGATACTTCACATTTTTCAGATAATCTTCTAATCGAAATTTATTAAACGGACTAGTTGTTTCAAACCATTTGTATATTTTGCTTATTGACTGAGCAACTTTTTAGTGCAATTATGTGTCCAAAGTACAAATACGACTGTGCAGCTTGATAATGAAGTCATTGAAAAAAAATATTTCTTCGCTAGTACATATCTTGTTCTTATAGATGATGAACCGTTTATCTAGACTTCTCCTTCTTCTGTATTGCTTTTACTGAATACAAAAAACGGATTACTGAAGTGTGAAACTTTGAAAGTTAATCGATTGGGCGGCATGAACCTGGCTAACACTCTTCAGCAAGGCATATCTGTAGCCGTGAGAAAATTGGTGTTCCCTCTGAATTTCGAACGTGGACCACTCAGTCAAAGGCTTTACTACTAAGCTTTTCGGTTAACGATTACCTCCTTTTTTTCTGTTCATTAGAAATATCACACAGTGAAAAGTAGCATTTACTGGATAATGTTTCGGACACAATTTATTGTCCATATTCATATCAGGTAACTCCACAACTTCGAGATAGACTTTGTATATTCCTAGTTTTCTTTCCTTCTCTGTGATGACAAGGGTAATAGAATTTTCCATATATCTGGGATAGGTTCAGAATCATTTCTATTGCATATATTTGGTGTTGATTCGATAAACAAAGACTCAGTTATCAATCTCTCCCTCCCTCCATCCAACTAAGTTATATTTCAACAGTTGCCTTATCGCACACTAATGTGTGATTGTGTGTCATCGCATGCAGAGCTATAGCCGAGCTTTCCTCTAGATTTCTTATCTTATTAAAATCCACTAATCTTGGTTTAACTAAGTTTGTGTGCTTTGTTATTCTAATCGAACCTGATCGACTGCTTTGACCTATGTACTTGACCTCGCAATCATTGCAAGGGATCTGGTAAACCAGATTATTTTGTTTAATTGCATCGATAGGATCTTTTAACCTAGAAAGCTTGTTTCTAAGTGGGTTTGTTGCTTTGAATGCTACTTTAATCCCAGCCTTATTGAGAATTCTTCGTAATGCTTGTGAGGTACCTTCCTTGTATGGTAACACAGTAGAAGCTTTGAATTCTCTCTTAACCCTGTCACCATTAATACCATTAGTAGTGGAATTGTTACTAATAACACCTGTATTATTACTACTACCACTGCTAATATTTTTCTTTCGACTTCTTATGAATTTATTTATAAATTTTGGTGGGTAGTTATTGAGACATAGGGTATCCTTGATGTGTCTAATTTCTCGTCGCAAATTTTCCGACCTACTATTAAGCTTTTTCGCTCTATCACTTAAGCATTTAACTAGGCCTACTTTAACTGAGATGGGGTGGGAGGATTCGAAGTCTAAGTAGCAATTCGAATGGGTAGGTTTTCTATAGAGACTATTCTTTAGATTTCCTTGTGTTCGTTTATTCTTGCAATCCAGTGTTACTAGCTCACCTTCTTCACTTTCTAAGTCATAGGTAAATTGTATTGTATTCACTACTGAGTTTATGTGTGCCAAAAACCTGTTGATGTGTTCCGATTTCAGTACTGTAAACGTATCATCTACATATCGGAATCATATCTTTGGAGTACGACTAAATGTTTGAGGGGTCATGTATTCCTAACTATCCATAAGTATGTCTGCAACGATAGAGGATATTGTGTCCGAAACGTTATCCAGTAAATGCTACTGTTTCACTGTGATATTTCTGATAAACAGACTAAAATGGAATTACAATCAACCAGCGCCCAAGTTTTACTCTTATATTGATTAACTCCTTGTTAGTGTTAGGAATATGAATAATATATATATATATATATATATATATATATATATTCCTAAAAAGTACCATCAAACAGGAAACCAGGATATCCTGTCAGCTGAATCCTGACATCTTGCATCAAAATACGGTGCACGTAGGTGGTACATCATTCACTTTAGTAATGGCACTCCAAACTTTATGGACAAGAAACCAGGCAATGTGGAGACAATGACACATTGGGTTACCATCAATTGCCACGAAGTATAATGATTATTGTGTTAGTGTGTTTCTTCCTGTGTTTTTTTAGTCGTACATTTTTTTCCTTACTATTCTCTTTAATAGAATCATATCAGAGAAGCTGAGGCGAGAATTGAATTAACGCTACATTACGGCACACCCTATCCTCGTTTGATCAATGCACCCCCGAATACACTAGCTGCGCATATGACTACATCATCAAGTAAAAGTAACAAGGAAAAATCACAACTATCTCGACGAACGGAACGAGTTTTACGTGAATCTGTACCATCATATTTAAAGTCGTATACGTATAAACCAATAAAAAAGTAATACAATTTGCTAAGAAATTGTATGTTAAGTTAAAATTTCTACATACAAATATCTTGTTCTCCAATTGTGTAGATAGATTCCAGAGATAAAACCATCCGAATAAAAAACTCCTTACTTATTTCACTGTTCACTTATTTTTGTCAATATATATATATATATGGCTGAAATTGCCAACTGTTTTAATCTGGCCTAGTGGCTTAAAAGTCTGACTGGTTACTTCAATCCTGTGAGAAGGTTGTCGATACTTGACGTTTAATAGCTATAAGAGAGGACAAGACAACCCACCACTAGTTATCTATAATTTTAAGTGATGGTTGGAATGATATCAAGTTGTGTTGGGCACCCTTTCTGGATATTCCTGGCATCAGTAAAGGTTTTATAGGATTCCTGTAATTATTATCTGTCAGCCGTCATGTATGATCATAAATGTATGAGCAATAATTATTCTCAGCATAAAATGTATGACTAAAAGTCAGTTTGAACATTGAAAGGCCAATATCGAATTTGTTTTACTCACCAGTATGGTGGATATTTTTTCAAGGAGTAGTGATGAATAACTATTATTACTTTCCTCTACATGAACGGCTTACTGTGTAATACTGGGGTTATATGTGAAATTTTATGTGAGGGAGGTCAACTGCTTTTGTAGTGAAATTGTCGACACGTATGTTGTATGTGTGTCTTGTTATCAGTTATTATGATATGATAAAAACCTGTCCTGTCCTGTCTTTGTGGAGATGGCGGTAAGACTGTGGTCAGAGAAATGACTACATTGATTAGGTAGGCATGACAAACAGAGTGTTCCATCAGTCTGCAATGAAGCTATTGTTATATTAATTTTTAAAAAGGGTCTGAGTAATATGTATGATAACTACTAGGATATCAGTTTGCTCGCAGTATCATGTGAAATATTATCTGGTGTCGTACTTCATACTGTATGCAAAACGCGTGAAAAATTGATCCATGACGACTAGCTCGAATTTCATTCAAGTTGTGGATGAAGTGATTACGTGTTTATTCTCAAAAGATTTTCGAATACCGTCACAGGTTTCGCTGGTCACCGATTGTTGCAGTCTTCGACAATGGGACTGTCTTTGATTCATTGATTGTGGCTGTACACTGGAAGGAAGGAGTGCTGCTGAAACCTTCTATGAAAATGCGATACTTTAGCACCTCAGGCAGCATAAAGGTATACCACACCTTCCAGCATCGTTTCAAACCAGTGGTAGAGTTAAGTTTGACCGCTCGATTTCATTATTTCTGCCTGACTTCGCCATCGATGTCATTCTTGACATAGTGGTGGTGGTGCAGACCTGTTATTAGGTGAAAGAGTTTCCGAGCTCGTGTATTCGAACAATATCGTTTTACTGTTCGACAACATACAGATTCCACACACTCAGTGATGAGTATCTATCGGTATAGTATGTATTTTGCACCATCGAAGAGCAAAGTTCTTCTGCAAGACTGACATGAGTCTGTACCTTCACTCACCTTTGGTGGCGAACCATTGGAATTTGTCAAAAGTTTGTATACCTGGTTAGTTGTATGCGTGGTGATAGGGGTGTGACTGATGAGCTTTTCAACCGCATAGAGAAAGTCACAGTGGGCTATCTTTAGTGTTGTCATGATGTTACTCGTGCTATAAAAAGCAGGTTAGTTCTACTTCATGCCGGCGAAACCTGGCCTCTTCAAGGTTAGGCTATCCAATGGTTCCGTATTCTGACCACTGTAGGATCGTTTGGATCCGGTGGAAACACCATTTATGTTATTCTGAGGTGATGTGGCGTTTTCGGCATGATGGAGATCTCCATTATTTGGATGCCTTCATCTTCAAACACCGACTTCAGTGTCTTGCATATGTGTTACATATGTCGTCTGAGTAGCTTCCCCACCGCTTGCTGTTTGCTTACTATGGAAGTCCTTGGTTTGAAGAAGAGGGAAGATGTCCAATGTATGACATGGCTCTGTGGGATGCAAAAGAGTTGTACGAGATCAGCATCTATAGGTGTCTGCAGACCTACTAAATGGAGTCTGGGTGGACCCTTAGTTCAGTGACTTCAGATATTAGCAATTATGGCTCAGAATCGAAGCCAGTAGCCTTGATTCGACAGCTTCCCTATTTCTTCTACTGCTGAAAAGTAAGATGAAATAGTGAGTACTTCTTTGCATGTATCTTCTAGATTACTTCTTTCTTGAATAACCCATGTTTATTGTGTTTTGATTCTTCCTTCCATCTTTTGACATTGTACCATTACTGCATTATTTTGTATGGCGCATCTCTTGGTACCCACTTCCTACTCAAGTGCTTGTTATAATGAATAAAGGGAATCATTCAATGTGTGCGTTTTGATAGTCAGTCTGTAGTCCTTACTTTACTTCACCTACTTTCATGTGAACCCACCATAAGTGAAAACCTTACTCCACTTTAGATATTGGAAAGACATCCGACTACATATGAACGGATGAGTATACTGCATTTCTCTCACATCTGTAGAACGTCTGTGAAGACATGGCCTCTGGAAAGAAGATATGAAGAGGTTACATGTGTTTGACCGCAAGTATCTCCATAACATTGTTGTATTTGGTGGAAACACCTTGTTAGCACTGTCAACTTTAGGTGAAGAGTTCTAGACATGGAAGGTAGGTCAGTCGATGCTGTTGTGAATCTCCACTGGTTGAAGTGGTTTCGACATAAACGCGTATTCTGATCCACTACATTCCTTGGCATGCCATGTTAACCGTAGTAGACGGGTTGAAAGACTAAAATGGATCAACAAGTCTTTGGTCTGAGCCACTTGATGAGGTGTAGGTTGCTTGACTGGGATCGTCAAGATAATAGGAATCAATGGTTGGTTGGTCTCATAGCTGAAAACCTGCCACATTGGTGCAGATGTATTCACTGTCTGACGTGCGAAGTTTAAACACTTTCACCAACCTTCATTTTTCAAATTCTTTCTCCTCTCACACATTTTTGTCTACTTTGACATCATTTTTTTCTCCTTCACTTGTTCTTTGTATGCTGCTTTGTTCGGCTAGAGTTCAGAAATAGCAGTTAGTTACAAACAGTTTTAGTTGTACTACTCATCAGGATTGTAGCATACTTTATGCATTTTTTGATGTTACAATTCGAATATTTAATTGCGTGGATTTACATGAATTACATGGTAATTTAAAACAGAATAATAGTTGACATAGTGGAAAACTGTAGACCATTGAACTCCGATCCAGTGGCTGAATGGGTTCACTGTGAGACCTGGGGACAGCTATTCAGTGCTTTCCAGTGATTCTGCAATTTATTTCAGTCTGTTGTTAATACTTCTTCAAGTATAACAACTTGTTTGACTCTTGTTGACTAGAAGTTCAGTAATGAGAGAAACCTGTCTCTTCATAGTCGCCTTACGTTCAAAAGATGAAGATATCATCACAGAAAACGATTAAAAGTTAAGAAATCGAATTTCTTCCTTATCCTTTTCCCACTTTGCATACATGTTGAGATATTTCATCTGTATGTCTTTGTAATAATTGGTTGAGTTCCTAAGCATATCTTTCATTTCTTCATTGTATATCCATCCTCTTATCATAATTATCTCGCCATCTGTATTTCTGCAAAATGCTTAGTGAGTTGAACAGATGTGACACAAACAAACATTGGTTTTTATTATCGTACCATTAGAATTGTTCCATTTCTCTTATAACGCATTTACACTAAAAAAAGAGATAACTTCAAGTATCGCCCTAATTTATTTTGTACCTCATTCATTGTTAAACAGAGTGTTGTTTAAATTATAAAAGATGGAAAGAATTAGACTACTTCAGCTTTTAAGAGTTGTATCGATGTTCAATAGGACAAGTAAAATGAAAATAATGATATAATCAGTTAATTTAGGTATTTAACCGCTGACCATTTAGAAATATTACTGAAGCCAACTAAAGAATGCTAAAAGAATCACGATTTAACAAATTCAGAAGTTTCAGTAGAACTTGCTGATCGACTATTTTACATACCACTATGTTTTGTTATAAAGGGATTAATACAATGACATCACCAACTAAGAAAGCGATTGAAACAACAACATAGACAAGTGAGAATGTTAAAACGTTGAAGGAGGCATGAGAATCGGTTTTGGGGATGCAGGTAAGTTGATTTACGTCACTATAAATAGGGCACTAGTCTCAGCAGTAGTGTACAAATAAGAAGTCATACTATAAAATTAAATCAATATTCATCCGCTGAATGGGGTAAGCTATGCAAAAGCATAATAAGTGAGAGAATAAAGACCAGTGGGAAAGGAATAAAAATTAAGAGATTGATTATGTTCTAGAGATACTATCACGCCATATTCAAGGTGATCGTCATCTCCAGCGCGCAGGGATTTCGTTTCTAGATTCGAATAGTATGGGCTCTTGTAAATGCAAGCGCTTACTCGTTCCGTTGTCTGTTGATGGTTGTAGAGGCCTAGTAGTACCAATATTAAATCCACAGTTCAATAGATACTTGGTCATGGAGTCTTATTTCCGTTAAACCCTACAGATTTAAGTAAATACCGCCCCATAGAAGTAGATAGTCACGTTTTCACACGAAATATATGTTGGTCGGGAAGTACTCAGAAGCATTACCACTGTAGCATTCATTTCCCGAAACAGATAAAGCATATTTGTTATCTATACAACAATGGTTGATTGAACTGACAAGGTAAAAGAATTGAATTGTAGCTATTGAAGTCGTTTTTTTTCAAGTGAGGGAGATTTAAGTGCATTAACTATAATTTACCTTTTAGGAAGATTGAAAAACGAGTACGCTGATGCATCGTTTCATAGTAATTAATGTCTAACCGTAAGTCGAAACTAAGTTTCCTTGGTGATAAGTTTTTGTAAATTGCCTAATAAGTTCAACTGACCTAACATCATAATGCTCCATGTGTTCATTATTCATCGCTTACTCTGGGCCTATATTTGATACTTCTTGGCAGCACACTCATTAGTAGAGTGTGGTGGTAGCATTTTGAGTTATGGAAAATGTCATCAAGAGGAAGTGGTGGATAAAGTAGTCAATATCCAAATATTTGACTATGACTTGAAGTAATACGGTTGTTACATGGCTAATAAGAAAATAAGAAATTGTATTCCTGATTCTTATGGCATCTCCCTTTTAGTAGTCAAAAGAAGTGTACACTTTTATCACATACACATGAATTTTCTGGTTGTTCTCTTGCTTTTCGTACTTGAACCTTCTAGGCAGAGTTTTCGAAATCAATCTATGCATAGTCTTCCGTACCACATCGTGAAGAAGTGAATTGAGCATGATTAATCTTGGGCATTCATATATAGTTTCTCCTTGACTATTAGCCAAGTTTGCATAGTTAAAGGTTGTCACTTGCATACAGGTCAGATTGATCTGTGCCTTCTTGAGTATTAGGGAAAGTTTTATGGGACTTACCTTTAACGTTTGTCTTCAAATTGTGGTCGGTTTCCTGGCTCGTTTTGTTTTATGTCCCTCTATTTTTCTAAATTTTGAAGTTTATAGTTGTAAATTGGCCTGAATGTTTGTACTTGGGGTACCTAGTAAGCTGTCGCTTGATTCTCCTTGACCTGTTAATTTTAGTACAGTAGGAATCGCCTTGTACTTTTTGTCACTAGTGAAATGCTTGAAAGATCTACTGCTTCCTTTTGCCGTTGATCCTTGTTACATGTGGTATTTAATCTTGAGTTCTTCTGCTTTTTCAGTGCAGTTTTTTATTTGTCAGCAGCATGTAAAGTTGAGAGCATTACCTAATTATCCCGTCTATCTGTAATCTGGAGAAAGTTTCTAGATGTACATATCTGTTGACTGTTTATTCTCCTGGATTCCATACCTCCAGGAACTATCTCGCTTTGAAGTGATATGATCTAAGATTTCTAAGCCAAGCTTCTGACCATGTTGATTGACATGTATTGAAATTATTGATGCTCTGTGTTCTTCGTGAAGCAACACTGAAGATGACACGTAGACTGAAGTTAGTAACTCTTTTCCGAAAATCCCGCGTTCAAAAAGCAACAAAACTGCTAGAATGTATACAACCTATGTTTAAAATATTTACTACCATATCACAAATGAATTTTGATAGCACTTCAAAGTGATATCTACACTTGGTTACCGTTTCACTAACGAAACTCAAATTGTGTAATACTGACTCATTTTAACTTTGAGGCTGCTTAGTCGAATTGTGATGCGACGCAAATTTTTTTTTAGTTCACAGTTATTGGTCTCATGAATCAATCTACTAATAAATGTTGCCTCAGAGGGTGGAACTGTCTCTCCTTGATCCAGACGATGACTTTAACCAGTGCGCCAGGGGTTCAAATGTTACTGTACTTACTGAGGTTTGCACAGTCAGGTAAACGCATCACTAACTGTTACCCAGAAGTTGTAGCCCATCGCCTACTGCATGGACATGCAAGTGCATACTAAGTGGTTTCAGTTTTGTTTTTGACCATTGATAGTTAAGCTTTTACCTCTTATGCATGTTTTTAACTTCTGAACACATGTATTTATCCATGACATATGTGGAATGTAGTGGGGAAGTTTTTCATCTGTTTTTGATTATATCTTTTCGTGGGTTGTAGACTTTCACTTTTCTTTTATTCTCTCTATTTTACTATTCAACGATCAATGGAAATGAATATTGTAAATGTCACTGAATGTCATTTCTAATGATAACTATAGAAAAATGCCAAACCATTTAAGAAACTTTGGAACGTATTCGTATGAAAGTTATTCGAGAAGTTTTGTAACAGTATGAGTAGAATAGTGACCATAAGAAAACTCCAAGACGATGTATTTAACGTGTAATTAAGAAATCCATCTAGATAAAGCATTAACAGTAAAACCGAAAGCAGTTTATGATTAATAAAAATACCGTTTTCAGCAGGCCTAGGATTATAATGGGATTCAAATTTCCCTGGGATAGTTCAGGTTGTTAAATCTTTTGTAGTTCAATGATTGTAAGGTCGCATACGTAAGGTAAGGTAGTCGACTAGAGTCAATTAGGTTATGTAACCACGCATTTGAGCGAGATACAGAAGATTAACTTAGTCCAGGGGTAGCAAAGCTTAAGAATTGGGTCTTTGTTAAGTGAACTAACATCTTATATTTGCATGAGAAGAGATCTTCCAAGTTTTTCCGATTTATGGAAAATCCTACTGCTACTATGCTAAAGGTGGATGAACCAGAATTTCAGGAAAAACCAAACAAGAAAGTTGTACGATATGTCTTTAAGTAATAAATGGGTTCCAAATGTATCATCTGTTAACTAATATCGTTTCACTGTGTCATATATTCTGGAACTATCCTCTACCAAAGTTCCCAAGCTCTGTACTTGATTCTGACACTGTCAAGTTTACGGGATAATGTACATGGAATTGCTGAAGTACTTCATGATCACTCTTCCTTTGTCAACTGACGCATACCTTCAAGTTTCCTTTTGAGCATGTATAGAAGCGGAATTCCATTTTTCCAAACATTTCAGAATTTATCTACGAAATGCAACTAATTTTTTTTAAATGCCCTGAATAATTTCCCATCATCGTATTCTCTGGTCTATTGCACAAAAGATTGGATACAATACTTGCTCAACACTCCTTAGCTTTCATTGAATGTCTTCGACTCGATATATAATCCTTGGTTCATGAGTTTATGGTAGACCTTCAAATGAAGGTTTTCACTAGACAGTCTTCTGGATTCATAGTTTACTGATCTGATAATGCAGTATTCAGTTATGAAGTTACTGTTTTGTTGACCTTGTTTAATCTATCAGTGTATCATATTAGATTTGTTTATTTGATTTATAACATACAGTCAGTTGCTTCAGGATTGTCTGCCTTGGGACACCTGTACTTAATAATACTGACTTCCAACCAAGTGACTGAAAGAAAATACTGTTACCGAGTAATAAATTTAACTTAGAGACTACTTAAAGTTCAGTATACGAGACAAACGGCTCTACTTATTGTTTAACGGATGTAATATCAGTCAACTCCCTGAACCTTTGCAGCTATATCAGAGTTCAACCATGTACCTGCGTGTCTAGTCCCTGGTCCGCTGAAGTACAATGTTCCTCTTAAAACAGTTTTACAAATACTCTTAGGGAACCTATCTCGACTAGTTTTAGTTTCTAGACTAATGTTGATATGAATGAATGAAGATTAAAATCGTAGCGTAAATCTGAGTCACAGTAGGTCACGAGCCAATGATCGGCCCAATGATCTAAGAACTGAGATACGAGATCCAGTTACAACTTCAGTCATCTCTTCACTATATATGTATATCACATGGTTATCTCATACCGCTTGGTCAGCAATCTGTCTCTTACCCCCCCCCCTTCCTGACCCCATCTGGACCGAAATCAGGAAGAGAAGACCCAATTGGACAACTAGTGAGATGGTGACTGAACAATCACGTATCACTCACCTACTTAAGAGTTAGGCAACGCCGTCAATGATTGAGATGAAAACCACACCTTTTCTGCTGACAGATCTTATATTTCAGTTGGTAGAGTCCTGAACCGGTTATCTAGAGGCTCATAATTTGAATCCCTCAGCTATACAAGTTTGCATTTCAATCTGATAACTACTCAGTTATATTTACAACCGACTGCTTCACACATAAATTGACCAGGAGTGTTATTACTTTCTTTATTTATTTTTGCAGTCCCAATAACTGAGGAGATATGGTAATAAAATGATTTACCAACAATCGATTTAAAAATAATCAAATGATTCACTATTATGCAAGAATCAAATATTCAACGAACGTTCATTTTAACTCATTTCTGTCTATCTGTCTTTGACTGAACCCGGATTGATCGGTCGCTATTGACAACGTTGCCTGTAGTTTAACTTTGAAACTGATCACTTGTAGTGGCTGGGACTGGTTTCCATGACTCTAGCCACTACCAATGAATTCACTTCTTTTCTTCACATATATGACTAACAAAAAATTGTGCATCAAGTCATAAAAGGGAGATGAAACATGAGAAGGAAGGTTTTTCTTAGGTTATAATCGTATTTATTTATAATCCCTATAAGCTGATAGTAGCTTAGAATAGGCACTCTGATAAATGTTGTAAGGCGATATCATTTCTGAGTTCATCTACAGTTTAGTTTGGTAGGCTGGAATTGTATTATTGAGATAGCATTCGAAAAAGAAAACTTATTTCGAGAAATGGGGTATCTTCCGTATATAGGAAGAAGTTACGTAATAATCTATTATCGAAGTAAAGGTACTATATAAAGTTAACAAAAGTGTAAATCGTTTCAGATATGAAGTTTTATGGTGAGCCATCTACTTGACATGATAAAAGGCTGTAATGAGAGTGATAATTAAAAACTGTTAACCAAAAATAAGCAGCACAGAAGTGAGGGAAGATGATGGAAAAATTGGAGTTTGAACCCATCACTAGTCACTTATCACCACATCATGCTGTGTATAGTTTACTAAATCGAACTCTTACGTTACAGTTGATCTTAAAAAAGGGATTGTGGTGGATCCATTTGATCAGAACTCACTATTAGTTCAAGTACCGAATAATTAACTGACTGTCATTTTCATTTCAATAACCCGATAAGATTATTCTTGTGAATGCACTAGTTCAGCACAAAATTATCTTACTGCCGTAAATATGCAGGTATTTGTCAACTCTCTGGATCTCCACCTTGCTTTATTGCATCTGTCATTCTGTAGAACCGTTTTCTTTATCTCAAAACTGATTTTATTTCCGTTTTTGGCCGCCGTAGTAATGATCCACTTTCAACCTATACATAAATAA